AGATATGACAAATATTACATAAATGGACTTATAACATCCATTGAATATAGTCTCACAACTATTAAAAGTATAAAATATTACCGATGTAATGTACAATAAGTTATTTTAACATTTAATTATGTTTATGTGACATTCTAGGATCATTTGACGTCTATAGGGATTGACATGTAACGTTGCGGTAAAGCATTTAAAACGAAACATTCCAGTTGTCACTGTTCATTTCTTTAAATAATTTTAATGTAAATAATACCTTCGTTTCCGTCATCGCTTGATTTAATGTAGTACACCTACACTCTTCAAAATTGAAAGATAAACGAATTTCTTGAAAATGTAGCTATACATTGTACTAAAGATGCTGACACGCTTTGGCAGTTACAGTGAAATAGATATAGTTTCAGTGTTGGGACCTGAGCAATAAGGGAGTTATATTTTTATGTGTGTCACGAACAATATTCATGAAAATGTCTCGATTTTCTTTGTAGAGTTCAAATTGTCTACGACATTTAGTTAGAAACGAGATTGCAATGATGAAACGTAAAACTGAGATTTCGAAAAAAATGTCATACGATTTTTAAACATTTTGTTAGGAATAGACAAATCCGTTAGATGAACTCAATTTTCGTAAAGATATGCTGCGTCTATGTGTGTTCGCTGCTTCCGCGTACCATGAATATGGCGGCCTTGAGCATGTGCAGTCAACAGTTTCCTATCAATGTCGGAAATTGAAAATGATCGTATAGTATACGAATTCACGAACGGCTTAAATATTGTTGCGAGTGTACGTTCTTAAAAATACGGACCGTAGTCGCGCTCATAGGCATTATTCGTGCTTCTTTAATATTTGATATATCCTTACTGAAAAAGTAACGTCACAGATTCACTTGACGACATTATGTAATTAATGTTAATAAATCATATGTAACGAAATGTTCCAAATCAATAAGCTATTTTTGGAAATCATATGTTTAAAAATTAAGTGGAATTACATGTAGTTACCATACATTGCGAAACTCGCCTATACGTGAATAAAATTTTTAACGTTTGAATCAATTATGAGAAAAGAAATTTATCAAATAATAATGTTTTAAATTCTTTGTCTGAAGTACACAATTTTTCATGTAACCGTGTGAAGTGACTTTTTTAGTATGGTTATCAATGTCCATATTGCTACATGTTTGATACGTGAAATAATGCTTACAGCGGGTAAGCATAAAGAAGAAGCGTTCTAAATGTATAGAATCGTATTAAACAATTGACAGTTAGTATAGGAAAATATATGTCTTTTAGGAATGGAATAATAAACTTTCTAAAAAGAATAAAGAGGTATGTACTGATCATAGTTATTTAATTTTAATAAATAATAGTCTGTATATAAAATTGAAATACTTCTCTTTGCACTTCGACTCTATTTCTTAAGGAAGTGTGACGACAACTATCTTCGTAGATAATGTGTCTAATAATGTTTGTACTTAAGGCATTGCTGTAATTTTATTTATTTATTAGAAATTATTATATGTTTTTTTGTATTGAATAGAATAAATAATACAATTTTCTGGTTTATATCTGTATGAAATAAATTAATACAATTTTCACATTGTCTGTCACTTGTAATATAAATATGCAAAAATTTTATTATTTATCTTGATATTTCTATTTGTGTACATGTATCAATTCGTTAATAAAAATAATAATTTGTTGTTAATAAAAATAATATGTTGCATCTAGTTTGTCGCACTAATCTTTTGTCATAATATAATTTAATAATGTTTAACTCATTAAATATGCAAATTAAGATTCCAAATTAATAGTTAATAAGACATTTGAAATTAATTTGGGACAATTACTTTTGTCGAAAAATTTCCGAAACCAAGTAAGCGACAAAATTTAACACTGACTGCGTTCTATAGAATAATCAGCTTTTCAATCGTTGTAATAGTCTCTATGAGATTAGCACTTGCACTCTGATTTTTTTGGGATGAGATACGAATATATAAACTAATAATGATATTAAAGAATACATCAATTAAAAAGCTGCATTTTCTAGTAAACGTAGCCACTGCAATAAGATCGACATTTTGAAATATTGAAAAGAATAATACAATACTGATCTCTCTTCTGTTCTTCGTCACATTGGAAATGAAAATTATATGTATTCAGCAGACTCAATAATTGAGGGAATGCTACTATTGATGTGTTCTTCTAAATCTAAGATTCTGATTGGATGACCTAAAAGTATACATTAATAACGGCGAACTCTCACTTAATTGTTGAGTATGCATAACATAGCATAACATTGATGGTGCATTGATAAAAAAACAATGAGATATTGGTCCATAGCATAAACAAATTGTCAACAACACACTACGTCGTTGAATTAAATATGTACTAAGTAGCAGATATCTTATAGGTTACCGTCTTTATTTAATCTTCTACTTTTTTTGTAGTTAATTAGGTACCATGATACAGAAATATTGTTCATTAAGGTATTACATACTTTTTACAAAAATCCGTATTAACTTTGTGGTATCGATATTTTTACTTGTCTGTGTGTGTGATTGCGCGTGCGTTCGTGGGTGGGCGAGTGTGTGCATTGGTGATTCTTTCAATAATCAGTATAATATTTTTTATATTATTAATTATATTAAGTCAGGAGAGTCTGGGATGCTTTGGAAAGGAAGGAGACAATTGCGTTTCAGCGCACATGGAGTGAGCGCGATACGTTGAGTCAGGGGAGGCTGCAATGCTTTGGAAAGGGAAAGAAAAACTTGCGTTTCAACGCACACGGAGTGAGCGCGATACGCTGAGTGTTAAGAGAGGGTGGGGGTAGTGGATGCGTGCCGCGTGTCAACTCTAGTATTAATCTTTTCGTTTTAATTGAACTGATTTGACGACATTTTGTCGTTAACATTTATTGCAAGAACTGAACGTATAAAAGATATTCACAACAATGGTCGTATATGTATTTTTAATTTATAATTTAAGTTTAACCGGTAATTCGAGTCGCGAGATTTACAATAATTGCAAATATTACAATAATTATTCGCGGAGAGATAATAATATCTTGAATCGTGTCTATTATTGAATTATCGAGAGAATAATCGCAAGCTAACACCGAAACTCAAGGTTTAACGGCGAAAGCCAGAGAAGATAATGCGTGAAGTCCTGTGAAAAGAATCGCCTTGTATAGCAGTCAAGGGGTGACGTCTAGGGGCAAAAGGAATATCGCTATCACGTGAAATTATTGTGATGGGCATTATTCTGGAAATTTCGACTATTACAATTACCAATTATATTTTTAGTCACAATCTTTGTACTTAGGGTAAACCCGGTATATACGCCGCGCGAGGATATACGCCGCAGAAGTTAGAAAAAATAGAAGGAGTGGGGATAATTTTCCGTCAATTACTTTGTTACATGCCTTTGGTAGGTATATTAGTATGATGTTATGATTTCAGTTTTTTACTGTTAATATTAATGAAATTATTGCGAGTTAAATCGATTTTTTATTGTAATAAGTAGTGCCATCATAATTTATAATCTACATAAAATGATTACTGTAGAGCGTATACCGGGTGGTTCACTTAAATCGAACATCTCGAATATTTCATTTATTTTTGACAATACGAAAAAATGTTTCAAATAAAAATGGAACGGTGTCGAGGAGGACACGTTTTAGTCACGTTGTTTTTTTTCTAAGTGGAGGCGCTGAAAAGATATGATGGTCACCTCCACTTTTTTAAATGGAATTATGTAATTTTTTTGAGATAACGTGATTCCTCTAATTATTTTACTTATAAAAGTATTAAGGTAGAGATACCAAAAAACCAATAGTTTTCGAGATATTTTATACTTTATTTTGATACATATTGACACAAAATGTTAAATAACTCGTAAACTATTGACTTTTTGATTATCGTACCTTAATACTTTTGTGAACAGAATAATGAGATAAATCAAATGGTGTAAAGAAAACACATAGTTGCGTATTTAAAAAATTATCCATTTTGTATACATATTTTTTTGAAGCAACTATGTAATTTAAATGCATGGAAAGCTATTATACAATGAATCTCAAAATTACACGTAATGTTGTAATTATGCACAATTTTTTACAATATTAAAAATTTTTATGCATAATTACAACATTTTGTGTGTAGTAAAAGTATTATTATGAATATCGACAAGCGAAAGACACCGGAGTATCTCACTCGTACTAGTAACAAATGTGTGAGACAGCGAAAGGACACCGCGAGCAGGCATCACGTCCAATTACGCTTTCTCTCTCGATCGTGCGCCTTGCGCTAAGGATAGAATACCGGAGCGCGCCCCACTACTTTCTCCCTCCGCGCTCCCAGTAACACGTACGTGTGCGCTCGGTACTAGAGTACCTATAATGTAATAAAAGTGTTTTTAGATTTTTGATTGGGCTTATAAATTCTGAGTAATTTTAATCCAAAGTTTGAAGATGTGAAAACTCGAGATAAAGCTAGTGGTAGCGTCGTGAATTTGACAGCGACATGAACATATACACGCATCAATCAAGTCAAGCGATCATGTCAAGTAGTCAAACGGTTATATTTTTATTTTATGCACTTGGCATCGCGACGCTACCGCGTCGCTTGATATAATTTAAAATATGAATTATTTATTTTGTCTTATGATATTTCAATAAAATTTGTAAAAAAATAAATATATTTTTACTTTATGTTAATGAAACAATTATAAAAACGTACAATATGTAACCCACATGTCTGAGACAATTATATCTTTCGGAAAACGAAAGTATCTAACAATTTCTATATTTTTTTTGTAGAATTTTTGCAGCATTTTATCGCACAACTCGGCATTTTTATGTCTACAACTCAAAGGTGTTATGACTGTATATGAAACGGTAACAGATAGATGGCACTGATGGCAGACTGATCGATGACGTCAGCTGGGGACCTGCGCGAAAGAGGACGAAAACTCGTCCATGTTGCTCACATCAGTCATGTTCCACTATGGTACTTCTGGTCAAGTGCCATTCATTGAAGAAGAACAACAGCGAACGAATATATCAATATATCAGGCATATTATTAATCGCAAATTAAAGAAGCATAATACTATGGCTGGTGGACATTTTAAAATTGTGGCGATTTTAAAGAAAAGAGGCAGTTCGATAATACTAGAATATTCCTATGTGCCATACCAGTGGGAAAAGGATGGAATCCTTTATTGGCCGAAAAGAAATATTTTGTCCTTGCGAAAAGATCCAACGAGCACGTATGAATCTGACTGGGAACAGTATAAATGTAAAGTAAAAAAGGATAATATCGTGGGAATTGACGAAGCCGAACTGTGGGAGGAAGAGTACACTGAACCAAAACTGTACGTATATACAATAAAATATTCCTTTAATTAATGAAAATTGGTCCAATGAACTCGTAAGTTATAAAACTATTACTAGAATTTATTGCAAGAATGAATATATAATTATATAAATGAATAGTTATTTGTGTATCAATGAATAAATTGGACATTAATTAATGTAAATAACATTAATAAGTCGAACATTGATTAATGATCATTCATTGGACCAAAATTTTTTTCAGTATATGTGAATGCATCGTGTACTGAATCAGAAAGAAACGTAAGTATATACAATTTACATTTAAAAGTTATAAGAATATAATCAGCGATAATTCAGAAAAAATTATAATTAATGAAATTATGCAACACACTCAATTTATATGCACATTAAATTTTTAAGAGAGAGAGAGAGCTTGTCGATTAAAAGACAGGAGAAACCTAGTATTAAAAGGATCCAGCTGCCAATTCTGTCCCAAACATCACTCGATAAACTGTTTCAAGATCTTAATCCTACCTCTACTATCCCAGAAACACATATCTAAGAACCTAAAAAATTGGCTATTAATGAAAACAACACATTTCATGTTACTAGGAGGTTAATGGTAGATTTATTGATCTCCGTTTATAATGTTACAATCTTACAATTTAAAGTTACTGTAACCTTATTTCAATGTTGATGTGCTGTGAGGGAATCAAGTATCCAACCTTTCAATTAACATACTATCGCATACACTTCATAGACGATGGGATATGATTCGTATTCTTTCAAATACTGTTCACATACAAGTCTTACCAAATATACAATTACATTATTAGTTTTATTAATAAATTTAAGCATTACAATTTGCTCAACAAAATTAAAGCATTACATGATCCACTGTGCAAAAATAGGCAAACTTCGATGTTAAATAATTTTGTCAATAATCATTGTGTCGTTATATTTAGATAAGCATATTAAAGCATTAAATCTGTATTTTTCAAAAGGGTATTTGAAAAAACAGTATAACTGATACATTTTGAAATTACACAAATATAAATATGAAGATGCAACTAATTTCAAAATTTTTAACGAAATTTGCGATGTTTCTCATTGCAAATTAAAAATGATGCACTACTGATGCGGTTTACAGTATTCGAAAAGGTAAACCTTCACCTGTAAATTGTCTTTCTTTCGAGTTCTCTACTATTTTATTCGCCGAATTATTCGACGTTGATGTAAATATGAACTTCTTTGATTCAACGTTGGATAAATCGGCAAAAAAGATCATACAGAAAGAAAAGTAAATTATGTATAATAGTCGATCCAATTTTTAGGAAGCAGTGAATCCCGTTTGTGCATAATTTTTATTTTATGCCATGCAACTTTGAAATTAAATTTAACGTATACAATTGAATTTTATGTATAAAATTTTAATTTTTGATGCATCATCATTTACGATATTGTAATTTTAAAATATCAGTAAAACAGTCCTTAAAGTGTCATTGTGAAAAGTAAAGGTTTCATGAGATTCAAATTGCTTCCTTAATCATTTCGGTACGATGATCTTTGGAGAAATTATTCTATTTCGCAGTTTGCTTATTTTTGCAGATAATGCTTTAATTTTGAAAAATAGCGTGTTTTAAAAATTATGAGATTTATTTTACCGTTTTCATGTTTATTTCATAACAAGAACTTTTCTTAACATTAAGATAAGTAAGCTCTCAATCACCGACAACTTCGAATTCGAATAATAGAAACATTCATACTGAAATTAGGTCACGCATATGCAAAACGTGCGGTAAAGGATTTACGACGAAATGGAATTTGCGACAACATGAGTACACTCATACAGGCGAAAAACTTTATAAATGCAAACTTTGTGAAGATAAATTTAGGTGAGTATTTAAGTGAAGAACATGAGTTACGGTAATTACGTGGAATTTCAATATCAATGATTAAATTAACTTGTAAAAAATAATAAATAATGCAACGTTTATTTTGCAGGCTAAAACAACATCTAGGAAAGCACGTGATTGCAAAGCATTGCAATGATGAACGTTACAAGTCTAATAAACACCTGTATGCTGGCGGCGTATCATACAAATGCAAAACGTGTAATAAAGAGTTTAAATATGAATCGGCATTGTATAGACATGAAAGAACTCATAATGGCGAAAAACCCTTCGAATGCGAATATTGTGGGATAAGATTTTCGTGAGTATTTAATTAATTAACAAAAGTTAATATAATTATTTGGTTTTTCAATCTCAATACTTATATTAATTAGTAAAAAATAATAAATATTGCAACGGTCATTTTGCAGGCAAAAAACTACCCTAGAACAACACGTAGTGGCACATCATTTCAATGAGGAGCGTTACAAGTCTAATAAACACATATATACTGGTGGCGTATCATTCAAATGCAGAACGTGTAATAAAGAGTTTAAATATATATCGGCATTGCGTAGACATGAAATAATTCATAATGGCGAAAAACCCTTCGAATGCGAATATTGTGGGATAAGAATTTCGTGAGTACTTACTTAAGTAACAAAAGTTAAAATAACTGCTTTTTCAATCTCAATGCTCAAATTAATTGGTAAAAAGTAATAAATATTAGAACGGTCATTTTGCAGGCAAAAAAATAACCTACGACGACACATAGTGAGAAAGCATTTCAATGAGGAGCGTTACAAGTCTAATGAACACCTAAATGCACCTGATGAAGTATCATACAAATGCAAAACGTGTAATAAAGAGTTTAATAATAATTCGGCATTGTGTAGACATGAAATAATTCATAATGGCGAAAAACCCTTCGAATGCGGACATTGTGGGATAAGATTTTCGTGAGTACTTAATTAAGTAACAAACGTTAAAATAACTGTTTGCTTCTTTAATCTCAATGCTCAAATTAATTAGTAAAAAGTAATAAATATTGGAACGGTCATTTTGCAGGCAAAAATGTAACCTACAACGACACGTGGTGGCAAAGCATTGCAATGAGAAGCGTCACAAGTCTAATAAACACCTACATACTGGTGGCGTATCATACAAATGCGGAACGTGTAATAAAGAATTTAAAAATAAATCGGCATTGAGTAGACGTGAAAGAATTCATAATGGCGAAAAACCCTTCGAATGCGAACATTGTAGGATAAGATTTTCGTGAGTACTTAATTAACAAAAGTTAAAATAACTGTTTGCTTCTTCAATCTCAATGCTCAAATTAATTGGTAAAAAGTAATAAATATTGGAACGGTCATTTTGCAGGCAAAAAGGTAACCTACGACGACACATAGTGACAAAGCATTTCAATGAGGAGCGTTACAAGTTTAATAATAAACACCTATATACTGATGGCGTATCATACAAATGCGGAACGTGTAATAAAAAGTTTAAAAATAAATCGGCATTGCTTGATCATGAAAGAATTCATAATGGCGAAATACTTTATCATTGTGAGATTTGTAAAAAAATGTTTAGGTAGGTATTTAAGTAAACAGCACATAGACACACAACACAAGAGTTAGGAAAATACTCTGGTAATTAAACATCAATTATTAAATGACACTGTAAAAAATAAATTGTTAATTTTAACTTAAAGACGTTCAGTGGATTTTCTAAAACATACAAAAATGTTAAACATTTTATTTTTTGCAATGTAACTGGTAAAAAATAATAAATATTGCAACTGTCGTTTTGTAGCACAAAAGAAAACCTAAGAGCGCACGTGGTGGCAAAGCATAACAATGACGAACGTTACAAGATTAATAAGGACCTATACACTGGAGGTGTATCATACAAATGCGGTACATGTAATAAAGAGTGTAGAAGTAAATGGCAGTTGAGTGTTCATGAAACGAGTCATAAAGACGAACAACGTTATTATTGTGAAATTTGTGGAGAAATGTTCAGGTGTGTACTTCATTAAATCACACAAATTTTTTTTAATTGAAAATTCGTCCTGTACACTTAAATTAAGTTGTGACAAATGATAAATGATGCTACGGTTCCTTTGTAGATATATTTCATCTCTAAAACGGCATAAAAAGTTAATTCACTCGAATAACTTTAATGTTATTACTAGGGCTCGCTATTATACGTTTAAACGAAAACACGTATAATTAGTATATATATATGTATATGTATATATAATTCGTTTATTATAGAAACGTTTTTCCGAATACACGTGTAATAACTTATTATACGTTTAAACGAAAATACGTTTACACGTATAATTAGCATATCCGTTTATTAAAAATGTTTTTCCGAATATTTTCATCTTTTTTTATATAAACGTTTATCCCTTTATTAAGGAGTATGACGGATTGAGAAAATCGAAAATTTTTTTGGGTATAAAAAAGACGTTCGAGTTTAGTAAAAACGAACACCTTTAGAAAAATTATATATTTACACAATTATATAAGGTTACATAATTAAATTAGTAAACAAACCGTAGAAGCATAATTTTTTAGTAGATTAATTTATTTGTTAAATATGATAAGCTAAATTAACCCACATTGTATTCAATTACCTTACAATTAGAATTTTTATTTAAAAATACTTTATATTTATGTTATTTGTTCACTTATTGTAGTATCTGGACTAACTGGACAATTCAGGTGAACGGGTTAAAGAACATGCAAAAAAGTGTATTTTTAATTTTATTAAAAAATATCAAAATATTCGAAAAGATGTTTTTCATAGACGGATATGTTAAATATACATACAAATGTATTTTCGTTTAAATATGTAATAAAAGATGTATATTCGGAAAATCGTTTCTTTAATAAACGGATATGCTAATTAAACGTGTAAACGTTTTACCTTTACGTAAACGTTTCTCTGAAAACGAATATAAACGGATAAACGTTTTGCATTTACGCGTATCTTCGAAAAACGGAATAAAATTAGAGCCCTAGTTATTACATATCTAAAGGATGTGAAAAAAGTTGCAAAACTAAATGGTGACTGAGTTACCATATCTGTAAGTAATAACCTATTATGTTCATTTGCTCGGCGAGCAAGCTAGCCGCTTTGTCAACTTGAACGTGCCCTTTATTTCGGAGCACAGAGAAAATAAAGGACAACATCCTTGCAAGGTATGTGCTTTAAAATTAGCATTTTTTCAATTTTCTTTCACTTAATCGTCTGTTTTTATGTTTTTATACATATATGAAATATAAATATTTCCGTTTGTATTAATCTTTGCTACCAGATCTCGACAGAAACGGTTCTGTAAATATGGCGTTAAATATCCGTATCCCACTGTTTCGTTCAAAAAACTTTAAAGAGAATTAAAGATTTATGTATACAAAAGAACTTATCATTTATAAAAAAAAATTATTTAATCCGTTATGATATTCCTATTTGTCTTCATATTTGTGGTACATATTTCTCTCTGGTACAGTAATGATAACAATCTAACTGGTTATGGACGCTCGCACGGAATGTAAGAGATGCGAGTTCGATTCCCGGCCGAGATAATATTTTTCATAATAAGAATGAATTATTTACAGATTTTAATTTATCACTCAACATTAATACCGATTTAACATGCATAAAGAGCATCAAGAATTGTTAAATTGCTATAAAAGTTAACTCGTGATGTTATTACGGTGGTTCCGTATGGTTGCGTTTCAAATCCAAAAAATTGTTCGACGCTCACTCAGTTTAAAAGACTACCAGGTACAAGTATGAAGTGCGGATTTGAGACAACAGATGGTGAACCAATGCATTGTGTAGTATAAAGATTTGATGTATATGCCATTTTGTTGTGCCATCAACAAGTGTCAAACGTGCATAAGTAATAAATTGAAAAAGTGTTTGCATTGTATTGTTTTGCTGTGTTCAATATGTCGAAATTTGTGCCAAATAAAGAGCATTTGCGAACAGCATTAATTTTTTGTTTTCATTTGAAGAAAACTGCTGCTGAATCATACCGATTACTTTGAGAAGCTTATGGTGAACATGCTCCATCACAAGATACGCGTGAACGATGGTTTCGGCGTTTCAAAAGTGGTGATTTCGATGTTTTAGACAAGGAATACGGAAAACCGCCAAAAAGATACGTAGCTGTAAAATTGCAAGCATTGTTGGACGAAGACGATTCACAAACACACTAACAACTCGCAAAGCAACTAAGCGTTAGTCGACAAGCTGTTTCCAATTTCCTACGAGAGATAGGAAAGATTCAGAAGGTCGGCAGATAGATACCACATGAGTTGAACGAGAGGCAGATGGAGAGACGCAAAAACACATGTGAAATTTTGCTCGAACGATACTGGAGATGAAAAGTGGATATATTTTGAGAATCCCAAGTGCAAAAAATCATGGGTAGACCCAGGCGCACCACATCCACATTGACCGCAAGACCAAATCGCTTTGACAGGAAGATGATGCTTTGTGTTTGGTGGGACCAGAAAAGGGTGTGGTTTATTATGAGCTGTTGAAGCCTGTTGAAACGGTTAATACCAAACGCGATCAACAACAATTCATCGATTTGAACCGTTCGCTACTCGAAAAATGAATATTGAAAAAGGCAACACTAGATCATTTTTCTCCATGACAATGCTCCATCATATACGGCAAAACCGGTTTGCGACACGTTGGAAGCACTCAGCTGGTGCTAATCCATTCGTCTTACTCACCAGACTTGGCTCCTTCCGATTACCACTTGTTTGCATCGATGGGTCATGCACTTGCTGAGCAGCGCTTTGGTTCGTACGAAGATGTGAAAAAATGGCTCGATGAATGGTTCGCGGCAAAAAGGAAAGATTTTTGCTGGCGTGGTATCCACAAATTATCCGAATAATGGGAAAAATGTGTAAGTGGCAATGGAGCATACTTTGAATAAACCACTTTTTATCATTCTTCCGAATTTAACCTGTTTTTTTTTTTTAAATCCGCATTTTATACTTGTACACCTGGTATACATACGTAGTATATAAATTCACACGGAATTATGATAGCACCTAAGATCCAGCTTCGACCGTTAAAAGGTCGGGCAGTTTTCTGATTGGTTGTGTTTCTCATATGTACGGTCCACGAAGTAAGAGAGAAGGAGACCGAACTGAATAGAACGCAAGCTAAAAAAGTGGTCCTGCCCCTATATTCTGTAACTCGTTAAGGCAGTTAACGACATTGTTACGCAGATATCTTATGGTATAAAAAGCTGCGCAACGATGTCGTTAACTGCTTAACGAGTTACAGAATACGGGCCCTGATTCGTGACCCTTAAGTGGGAGGGAGTCCGCTGAAAGGAATGGATTCTTATGGTTGGGCGCCATTTGCAATTAACCTTACCCGAACAGTCCGGCCTGTTGCGGGATTCTCTCATGAAGTAAGAGTAAGGAGACTTAATTAGATAGGATATGGAGAAAAAAGTTGGTCACGAAAAATGTTCCGTGTACTGCCATGTCCGCCGAACGGAATAACTTGCAACATTTCATCGCCATATTGAATATTTATATGTGTGCAGTATACTTGCGACTGTGTACACGTATGTGTACACATACAAATACATAATATATATCGAATCGGGATGACAGATATGTTAACCTGTAATTCGTCGCGTTTTCACTCAGAACGAAAGAATCTATAAGAAAAATGCAGGGATCGGCCTTGTGAACCGAGTTATTAAGCGTTAAAGTTCGAGACTTTACAGGTTAACATATCTGTCATCCCGATTCGATATATATTATGTATGGCCCGTATTCAGAACGCACTTTTATTGATAAAAGCGCGCTTTTATCTCTGAAATTCTATAGTATACGTGACGTAAACTATAGCATGTTAGCGCGCTAACATCGTTGTTAGCGCGTTCTGAATACGGGCCTATATGTGTACACATACGTGTACACAGTCGCAAGTATACTGCACACATATAAATATTCAATATGGCGATGAAATGTTGCAAGTTATTCCGTTCGGCGGACATGGCAGTACACGGAACATTTTTCGTGACCACCTTCAAGGTTGGATTATACTGGCCGTAATCTGTTAACTTATGCTGTAATCTGTAAAAATTGACCAATTATAATCGATTATTCCCCTCTCATTCGACTGTGATTGGTCAATTTTTACAGATTACGGCATAAGTTAACAGTTTACGGCCAGTATAAATCAACCTTCAGTCTACACAGTTAAAGGCGCGTCTACAATAGGGTCCGTAAGCTTAACATAAGCGTAAACGTAGAAGTTGGTTTATTTGAACTTTCACGCCTTTGACTCCGGCTTATAAAAGTTCCATGCAATAGTTTGCATAGAGCAACCATGAGCTACATAACTATATAAAATAAAATATTCGTATTATAATATAGTTCAAGAAACATAACAAATTATTAAAAATATTACAAAACATACTTACTATAAAGTAATACATAATCGATGTGCCGGCGAGAGAGGCTCACGAAGACTTTTTTTTTGTCAGAGGCTCTTGTACTAATTCAAGTAGTCTTTCAAATTGTGAAACAGTCATTCAAGTAAATTTGAAAAATTGCTCATCATCATGGTTTTTAATAAATTGAAAAAGAGTATGAAAATGACCATTATGTTTTCGCTGCAATAATAGTGATCGAACCCAATATTTTCGTTTAGCAGTTTTTTTCTTTTTTCTTTGTAATAACTGCATAACAATAGTAGCTAGTTGAATAGTTACAAGGCTAATTTTTTTAACTCGATAAATATCCATTATATTATATAGTTCTGAAATTCCTATATATTGTATAAAAACTTATGTAGTACAGAGGTTAGAATACTCAAATACGAGTTTACGATTTATTATGTTACGTTACGTTTGGGCTGCTATTGTAGACAATGCGGAGTGATTTATTATGTTTACGTTTATGTTAAGCTTACGAACCCTATTGTAGACGCTCCTTAAAGCGGGGAGCACAGACTTTTGCATAACGCATAAAGCATGTGCATAAGGAATTTCATTGGCCCATTTTCTTATGCATGAGTCAATGGACCAATCAAATTCTTTATGTATATGGTTTATGCGTTATGCAAAAGTCTGTGCTCCCCGCTTAAGTCTCCTTACTCTTAAGCGGGGAGCACAGACTTTTGCATGACGCATAAAAGCATGTGCATAAGGAATTTCATTGGTCCATTTTCTTATGCATGAGTCAATGGACCAATCAAATTCTTTATGTATATGGTTTATGCGTTATGCAAAAGTCTGTGCTCCCCGCTTTACGTCATGGATTCTCTAAACGTTTTATCGATGATTGTCGCTATCGTTTACTAGCGACAGCCAATGGCAGGAGAATCCTCTAAAAGAAAGCGCGGCTTTCATTGGTTGTCGCTAGTTAACGATAACAACAATTATCGAAAAAACGTTTAGAGAATACCGCAATTGGCTTGCATTCACGAAGTAAGAGCGTGCTTGTATTATACGGAAAGGTTAAGACTAAAAGTTCTAAAAAATTAAAAAAGGTAAGAATTTATAAGAATTAATAGTGAATTCGATCACTTGCACTACGCTAGATTAGTACGTACTAAAAGCTACTGTGCACGAAATTAGCAGAGTTAAAGCATATAAATAATTTAAACGATTAAATATTCAATAATATAATATAATATTCATTTTAATATTAAATATTCAATATTTCATTTTTTTTAATTTTTTGGAACTCTTAACCTCTCCCACGATCTCTTACTTCGTGACCTCTCCGTATAATCACAGTATAAGTAAGTACAGTAGTTTCACTCCGTGTCGGTACCTTTGATCTACGTGTCCTACAGTCAGCCATGTTGTTGGTTGTGCGAGGCCTTCTATCTTCCTTCATGAGTCTACTGAACGCAGCCATTGGGCGCATTCAGCGGACTCAACGGTTGAGTGAGCGCTCGCTATTATTGGTGTATTCTTCCAGATCTAAAATTCTGATTGGATGATCCAAAAGAATACACCAATAACAGCGAGCGCTCACTCAACTGTTTAGTCCGCTGAATGCGCCCATTGATATAGGTGTGACGGCTTGACGCATGCGTGGGAAATATACTCGCTAGATGCTTTTCGTCCTTTCTATATTACAATACTTTGTGTTTGTGAGAGACTGAGAGTTGGTCAAAGTTGATACGAACGAAAACGTTTGTCAGTACGCCTTTTTTTTCGAACTTACAAAGATTCTCGATTGCGTCGCAAGTCAGTAACTGCGGATCCTTTCGATTTCAAGTAAGCGATCGGTGATTATCCATTTTACCGTTGTATACGAAAATCTGTCGTTGCACTGACTAGAAATTTCTGCTTCTGTCGACGATAGTAGTTCCTCCATTTTGTCAAGTTCAATTTCTCTCTACCATCTGAACGAATAGGTATATTACGCATTGGTTTGTAACGGCAAGCTTTGAATTTGTGAGTTTACTTTGAAACTTATTTAACGCAGCATTAGGTTCAGCCTATATTAAATCTGGTAATAGAGTCGATTATGTGTGTGTGTGTGTGTGTGTGTGTGTGTGGGTGTGGAATGGACGGAGGTCATTAGATTATCTTGGCATTTGAACAAACGCCAGTATGGATTGGTATGGATGCTTTGTTTGGTATTGCAGAGGCTGCGAATCGTTATTACAAATGTGACCTAATTTCTTTGTAATATAATGCTTCGATTGCTTCGAAGCATTTGTACAGTTAAGTTAATCGCAATTTGATCTATACAATGTGCTTTGTAAAGGCCTACTCAAAAATATGAAATTATGTAAAAGAAAAAAAAGAATACTTCCATTTAATTACACAAGTATCTTATTATCTTCGTTATTCATTGAGTGCCAAGAAAGATGGAGTGATATTTGTGTCACTTTCTAGAAATATCCAAGATAAATTTTATTTATAAGAGTAGTAACGAATTATGTTATAAAATTATCATTCTGTTTTTCGATAATTATACAGAATACTCCCACTACCTCCGATTTCGGTAAAATTAGGCTCATTCGACGAGTTTTGCATAAAACGAAAGAATCTGGCAGAAATAAGCGTCGTTCTGCCCTGCGAACCTAGGTATTAAGCGTTAAAGTTGACGACTATTCAGGTTAGGAAATCTGTCTGCCGCGAAATACTACGCTACGAATATGCGCTGCGATTATATTTTTATTCTCTATAATACTGCTTCAAAAACAAAAAATCAGTGCTTTAAAAATACAAAAGTGCTGTTTCAAAAACACAAATTCATTGTTATTGGTTTCCTTCTTCTTGTTTATTGTTTACAAATTCATTGCTTTAAATACACAAATTCTTTGCATTAGCAGTGAACTTGTATTTAAAGCAGTAAATTCCTGAATAGTCGTCAACTTTAACGTTTAATATCTCGGTTCACAGGACAGAGCGACGCTTATTTCTGCCAGATTCTTTCGTTTTATGCAAAAACGCGTTGAATTAGCCTAATTTTGTCGAAATCGGAGGTAGTAGGGGTATTCTGTATATATATATATATATATATATATATATATATATAATTAAATGTTTTTCTACAGTTAAAACTTTTAATAGATATTTTTTACTTAGTGACGCAAATCGACCCAAATGTCTTTTTTTTCAGTTCCTAAATAACGAAAACAAAGTGACACTCGTGTCAGCTTGTGTTTAAATCAAATAGAAAACTAATCTAATAATTATTATATTACAACAGATACTAATAACAGTATGAAGAATACATTATATTGGATACAAAAATTTATACCTGATTTATTATTCAAAACTCAAACAGCTACAATTTTGTTAAAAATAAAATTAATCTGAAACTTTACTTTATTTGATAGTACATATTTAAGAATCTGTTTTTTTAATTGGTTTTGACAGTGTTATGAGCAATTAATGTCAAAATATTCTTTTTATTTAATTTGCAATAACTCAGTAACAAAAAAATTGTAAACATTTTTTAAAAACGACTTTTTAAAAGAAAAACTTTAAGATTTTTTTTACATTAGAAATAAAAAATTTCTGTAAACTTTTTACGTATATGACAGGACCACAACAAAACGGTTTTCTTTATCTATTTAACTTCAGTATGGGGACCAACGCTGAAAATGAAAATAGAGAAAGAAATTTTTGATTTCATACTTTTTCCAACTTTGGATACAAAATACTTCAGGAGCAAATACATTAATCTGAATGTTTTAATTGTGGAGAAGGAATTTTTATTCTATGAAACTACTATGAAGAAATTAGACAGGAACGAAAACATTAAAAACATTAGTTTTACCGATAATACAGGTGGCATCCCCTTAACTCTTTTATATTTAAATTTTGTTTATTTTTTTAACAAAATTGCAACTATTTCAATTTTGAATAATAAATTGAGCATGATTTTATGCACTTATCTAATGTTTGAAGAGTCAACCACTATGAGAATCAGTGTACATTTTTTCAGAAATATATTATGGTAATACATTAACAATATTGTTAGCAATATTGTGCATAATAGGTAATGCATGATTTTGTGATTCTCTTATTCTCAATATTTTGAAGCTTATGATAATCATATCCGTACGGTCATCTTTTTTATACTAATATAATTCCATATGTAATATATATTATATTTTATATTCAATATTATATATTATGTAAAATAAAAAAATAATTTTTTTTGTTCTAAATCCATTAATTTTTACTAATTTTCAATTTTTAATAAATTATTATTGAAATATAATACTTAAATAAACAAAATAAATATACCTTTAAACACGTGTTTTTAAAATTATACTGACAATAATACTAGTAATAATAAAGAAATATAAGAAAAAAGAAGTAATCCAGACAACAAGTATCTAAAATCTGATTATAAGACATTTTTTGTTCGTAAAGGATGATTTAAACACGTCTTATGTCACAATTTTAGGCTTTGTATTGTTTGAGAATACACTAGAAATATTTATTTAATACTGGCAATACTGTTACAATACTGATAATAAAATAAAAATATTAGGAATAAGCAGCATCACTGGCAATACGAAAACAATACTAACATTACAATAGCAATGCTAGCGATAAAATATTGTATTACCATAATTAGCAATCACTGTACATTTTTTAAGTAGTGGTTAACTTCTCACTAATGCTAGACTGTTATATTATTATAACAATATATGAATATAACATTGTATGTGTGTGTTTCTTATTATTTACAGATTCATCATGCAAATCTTTGTGAAAACTCTTACTGGGAAAACCATCACCTTAGAGGTGGAAGCTTCTGATACTATAGAGAATGTCAAAGCCAAGATCCAAGATAAAGAAGGCATTCCTCCTGATCAACAACGTTTGATCTTCGCTGGTAAGCAGTTGGAAGACGGTAGAACACTCTCCGATTACAACATTCAAAAAGAATCCACACTTCATCTGGTTCTGCGTCTTCGAGGAGGAATGCAGATCTTCGTAAAAACTCTCACTGGGAAAACCATCACCCTTGAAGTTGAAGCCTCTGATACAATAGAAAACGTGAAAGCCAAGATCCAAGATAAAGAAGGCATTCCTCCTGATCAACAACGTTTGATCTTCGCTGGCAAGCAGCTGGAAGACGGTAGAACACTCTCCGATTACAACATTCAAAAAGAATCCACACTTCATCTGGTTCTGCGTCTTCGAGGAGGAATGCAGATCTTCGTGAAAACTCTCACTGGGAAAACCATCACCCTCGAAGTTGAAGCCTCTGACACAATAGAAAACGTAAAGGCCAAGATCCAAGACAAAGAAGGCATTCCTCCTGATCAACAACGTTTGATCTTCGCTGGCAAGCAGTTGGAAGACGGTAGGACACTCTCAGACTACAATATTCAGAAAGAATCTACTCTTCACTTGGTTCTGCGTCTTCGAGGAGGAATGCAAATCTTTGTGAAAACTCTCACTGGGAAAACCATCACCCTCGAAGTTGAAGCCTCTGATACAATAGAAAATGTGAAGGCCAAGATCCAAGACAAAGAAGGCATTCCTCCTGATCAACAACGTTTGATCTTCGCTGGCAAGCAGCTGGAAGACGGTAGAACACTCTCCGATTACAACATTCAAAAAGAATCCACACTTCATCTGGTTCTGCGTCTTCGAGGAGGAATGCAGATCTTCGTAAAAACTCTCACTGGGAAAACCATCACCCTTGAAGTTGAAGCCTCTGATACAATAGAAAACGTGAAAGCCAAGATCCAAGATAAAGAAGGCATTCCTCCTGATCAACAACGTTTGATCTTCGCTGGCAAGCAGCTGGAAGACGGTAGAACACTCTCCGATTACAACATTCAAAAAGAATCCACACTTCATCTGGTTCTGCGTCTTCGAGGAGGAATGCAGATCTTCGTGAAAACTCTCACTGGGAAAACCATCACCCTCGAAGTTGAAGCCTCTGACACAATAGAAAACGTAAAGGCCAAGATCCAAGACAAAGAAGGCATTCCTCCTGATCAACAACGTTTGATCTTCGCTGGCAAGCAGTTGGAAGACGGTAGGACACTCTCAGACTACAATATTCAGAAAGAATCTACTCTTCACTTGGTTTTACGTCTTCGAGGAGGAATGCAAATTTTCGTGAAAACTCTTACTGGTAAAACCATCACCCTCGAAGTCGAAGCTTCAGACACCATTGAAAACGTAAAGGCCAAAATTCAGGACAAAGAGGGAATCCCTCCAGATCAACAACGTTTAATCTTCGCTGGCAAGCAACTGGAAGACGGCAGAACTCTTTCTGATTACAACATCCAAAAAGAATCCACACTCCACTTAGTTTTACGACTTCGTGGAGGTGTGCTCTTATGAGCTTGAAAACCACAGAAAGGTCCGTTAGTTGAAAAAGAGTAGCATCAGTAGTATTGAGATAGCATTTATATATTTTACTTTTTTTTAATTTTTGCTTCAAATAACTACATATACTTAACATTATTTTGACAAATATTTGCGTTGAAGTATAACAAGAATGTAAGAAATTGTAACTCAAATATGTAAATGAACACATTCTTGTCTAATAAACATTAAGTTGCATTAGGATGAAGATGCATTAGAATGATTTTTCTATACATTTTAAATCTTACCCAGAAATTATCTTTATGTAATATTTATTATATAATTTTGCAAAAATAATGTGTCACATCGTTTGTAATACCTTTATTACAAGAATAAAATATCAAATTACGTTCTAAAGTAAGTAATCTATTTCGTTTAACTTTTTATTTATTTTAATGCTTAATAGATATAATAAATATAAATATCAGTAAATTGTATTTTCTATATTTTTAAAATTAGGAAAAAAGAAGGATAATCTCTTAAAAATATTTATATACAACGCACACGACATAATAAAATAGGTTTGATGAAAAATCGCACTAAGATTCGCTGAATATGTACATATACAATTATATACATAATGATTATATACATGATTATACGTTGATTAATACACAACTGTGTATCCAATCTAATGCAAATGATATTTGAATAATGATGCAGAAATTAAAATTTCGTTGGGTCATATTATATTAATAAAACAATTTACGCACTATTCATACTGATAATTTCTAAATTAACAGCCAAGTCACATGGAATGGCTTTTTCATTGCTGAACATTTTTTCTACAAATATTTCTTACCAACTTCATAGAACAATAAATATTCTCTATACAGGTCCTATAATAATTAATAATTATATTATTGCGCTGCACGTTCTATAACATTAAAAATAAGTTAGCAACTTCAATGTGATTATGTAATACTCACCTATAAAACTTAATAACACTGGTAAGAATATTAAACCATGAGCTGCTCCGAACAGAACAATTCCCAAATACATTTTGAAATAAAAAACTCGGAAAATCTGTGTCTTCGCAAACGCCAATACCACAATTCCTACGAATTTGGTTAAAGTAATCCCGGAGAATACCTACGAAATAGTATGAGAATGAATTTATATACAAAATATATTATAATATTTTAGTTAAGAAAATTAGACATTTTTTTTCGAGGTAATTAAACTAAAAAGTGTGTATTGGTTATTCTTCGAGACATTTGATTAGACTTACAGAACTTCCCATGAGGGAAAGGGCTTCCGATGCTTTACTGATTCTTGTTGTTTCTACAGAAGTAATGTAGGAGTGCACTATATGACTGCAAAATTCTACGGAGATACCAGCAGCCTACAAAAATTCATATTTTAGCGTAATAATAACATAACAAATTTATTATAATTTAACAATTATAATTTTAAAAAATATATTTTAAACTTATTAAATAATGATAAAATTTTATGTCGTAATCTGATAATGGAGCTACATAAATATTGCTGTATGATGAAATTATTAAATTAGTGATAGAAATAATTATTTAATTACATACAACTGACATGTGTTTCATATGGAGAACAAGCAAAAATAATGTAAATACTAATACATTAATACACGAACCATAACTAAATTGACGAGAGAAACTGCGTTCAAACTAATGTTCCACCAGTACATTAGGCCAGCCAAATTGATTATTATCATCAAGACAGTAACAACGACTGTTACTGTAGAGAATACTGATAATCCTGTGAGGAAAAGTGTCACTACGAAGATCACAGCAAGGGATAAACCTATCGACGATAAGGTTTCCTGCCAAATAGTTAAATATTGCTCGTAGAACACATAGAATACACTGAAACACGCCATGAAAAGCATGAAAATTTAAAACAATTGCAATTTATATTTTACAAGGTTACCGATTTTTTAAGTTACAGACGATATTGTTTTAAAATTATAGGATCTCTTTTTTAATTTATCGAAATCTTACCTATATGGAAATACATGGACTTCTTGATCAGACATTTTAGCATTATTTATTGTATTTGTGATGTTTTCTGATATTATCCGAGCAGCTTGCAACGCCTCGTACCAATCGGAAGATTTTTTTAAGGGCGTATGGTAACCCATGAAATACGAATCGTTCACATTTGTCAGACCAAACTCATCATAATAAAAGTTTATTGCCTACTCAAACAAGACTCTTTGTTAGCATATAAATTATTTACAGAATTTTAATATGTCATTCATAGATTTTAATATATGTTATTCAACATTATTAATATCCTAAATGCTACGAGCATCAAAATTGTTAATCAATTTAACTCGTGATAGTACTGCGGTAATTTACTAGAGTTTGTGTTATAAGTCCGAAAATATTTCGGCGCTCATTTAAAAATCTACATATGTATAATGTATATGAATTATAAATTAGAAGCATCCAAGATCCAGCTTGTTCTCATCGGTATTTAGTTTAATCTCACGGTTCAATAAGATTTGATATCGTCAGCACATATTTGTGCATTAAAAGAATACTCTATTTTAGTTTATCAAAATACGATGACTTCTAATAATGTTGAAATATAACTTACGTCGAAATAAAGAGCTTTGCCAGCTTTGGCGCATTTTTCGTCTGGAATGTCGTTCACGAAGTACGGGATATACTTCCTGAAACCTGTCTCGTTCGGACGGGAGGTATCTTGATCAATGATAATCAAGCAAGGCTCACAGTCACCTATAAGTCATTTTATTGTTAAGTTATAAATTTGCTAAGTTAATAAGAAAGAAAATTGCGTATAAGCTTAAAAAGAGTATTGTTGTCTGAAAATTGATATTACATACGTAGACATGTATTAATATAATAATTTTACGTGATAACATACCATTAGTGTGCAGACAGTAAGATTGATTGTTCTTGTAATATCTGCAGCAGCTACTAATCGACGACCAATCGAGATAATCGTCTATCCAAGATGAAGCCGCTCTAGACAAATAGGATCTGCAATGATTAATAGATAAAGTTCTTCCTGCACGAGTGATATTTTCAAGTAAATATTTTTATAGTGTAGCTATAAAAATCCCCGGAAAATAATTGCAAATGCCAAATAGATCAGAAGTAAAATACATGGTATAAAATTAATATCTCGTACTTCGTGATCTAATAAAAATATATAGGTATATTTTACTTTGTTAAAACACAAAGTAGAAGAGAAGAAATTTATTAGCTTTCTTTATGGCTTGCAACACGTTTTCCCGAAATTTTTTAAACTATGAAAGATACAAACACGGAGGATTGTTTAGCAGCCGAATATATCTGTGTATATAAAGAATCCGTATTGCATCCTTGACCGCCGCATATGATGTTCTGTACTTCCTTCTTGCTGTAATTCAGGCCTTCTGTCAGCACAAAGTATACAGGTGGTCCCATCGATAAAAGATCTTCCATATACTAAAAATATAATATTTGTTATAGTTATAATGCTATGTATATTCTGTATAACGTAATATTTAGTATACATTCGATCTGCCATACATACACTCGTCCATACGCTACCTTCTCCTAACCGGAAGTCCATATTCCGTATACATAATAAATAATATAATATTCTAAAAATATTATAAAATAAAAATATGTCTTCTCTCTCGAATTTTAATAAAAGAAAAAGATTTCTCGCTTTGATTTTGAAGTGACGCATAAATGATTGATTGCACATGTTGAATTGTATAATTAGCCTTAATGATTTTCGTGGTTCTCTTGAACTCTTTACCGTAAAATATTTGAGAACATAAGAGTCTTCGGGCATCGAGAGCTTCTGGTCCAGACCAATTTCCATCTGTGGAAAGACTATCACATGAGTAGCGAGAGCGGCGACGAAGATCACTATGACAACAACTCTGACCGGCGTTTTCATCAGAAACGGCGTATAGGTCCGCTCGAAGATTGTGCGAATGATACCATCGTGTTCGTCGACATTCGAGCTATTCTCGACGGAAACGCAGCAAAAAACGTCCAGACGATTATTCTAAAAAATATTGGACATTTATTTTTAAAATTACACAAGTCAAACTCCGAGAATTTCGTCAAAAATTAAAATATTGATCATCGTTAAGGTAATCAAAATTTCTTCTAAAATCGAAATAATTACAATAATGTGGATATAATTAAAATAATATTAATTTGCATTTGTATGCGTATATTAATTATTGAAGACACGATTTCTCTCACAGTAAAACTATTAATAAAAATTGTGATTAAGTAATATTTGTACAATTTACCTCAGCTCTCCGAGAGTCGAGCGACAGTAAAGCAACGAAGGCTGTTATTTGAATGAGGAAATTAATTAAAATTGATACCGAGGCGTACATCGCGAAGGTGTTTACCGCTGGCATTGCGGAAAATGCCCCTGAAATTTTTTATTTTTTACATTATAATTACCATCTCAGAAGGAAAACCTCTACTTTTCTTAATTCTTTTAAAATAACTTACATAATATATTTTTACGTACCAATGAGGAAACAGAAACATTCGGATGTACTGGTAAGCAGCATTGAAGGTCCGACTGCAGCCAGAACTCTACTGATGTGCTCTGGAATTGTTTCGTCGATGGTCCGTGGATTTCTCTGATGATTTTGCACCAAAATGAAAATATTGTCAACGCCGACAGCTAACACTAAGAACGGAATTACCTGAACAATAATTCATCATTAAATTTTTTCCTGTGAACGTCTCTATTAAATATTTTTTTAATTATTTAAATTGTGTTTGATAAATAAACAGTCACATGCATTAATTTTTTTATTATATCCATGTATTTTGTATTATTTATATTAGGAAATTATTTACTTAAATATTTTTCCCAAAATTGCACATGCAGTTATTGTATTATCGTAATTTGCGTATGTGCAAGAAATTTATACGTACATGCAAATGTTCAATAAAAATTACCTCGATTGTGAGCAAACTAGTTGGTACGCCAATATAGCCGAAAATACCAAGAGAACAAGCGACTGATGCTATTACTATAATGATTCCACCGACACTCAATACAATTCTGCTTTCAGTCTAAATTGGAAAATTACGATTAGAGCGTTTTGTGGCATACATTTATATGTCTTATAATTTTACGAAACCGAATGTAAAGGTAAAACTTACGAAACAGCCAATAACGGAAGCCTTCATTTTACCGAGAGCTAAGGCGACATAAACAAACATAACAAGATAACTGATAACCACCGTTATCATTTCTGCTTTCGATGATCTATCCAATTCGTCTTGTATCGATTTTTCGGTAGTCCATGCGACGTCCATGGAATCAGGTCGACCATCTCGGTTCCATTTTTCCATAAAGTCAAGAAAACTGAAATTTATAATAATCGCACAGTTTAATACATATAATTAGTGCATTAATAATGATTATCAGTGTTATCATCATTTAATTTTATTCTTTTTTTCTATCTTGACTTTTACGCACCGTTGCTCCCATTTGATGACCGGCATGAGATCCTTCTCATTAAGCGAATTTCGGACCAGAAACGTTAAAATTAATCCGGTCGCTTTAATGTAATCCGAGGACTCGTATTGAAATTGTCCTTCTCTCAGAAAACCTCCAACCGCTAAATCAGGTATTATGGGTCCCTTGTATGGCGCCATGCAATCTGGATTAAACGAATTTCTGAAAGACGATTTATTAAGATTTGAAACAAAATTAAATTTTTTTAATAACTTTTGTTGCAAATTTTTATTATGTATTTCTCTCTCTCTCTCAAGAAAAAAGACTCAATAACTTGCTACTTTTTAAATTTGACCTTCACATTTTTTCTCGATTGGAACAATATTTAAATACTTTAAATTACTTTAATATTAATATTCTAACTTGTAAATATTGGGAGCACTAAATTACTGTCGTAAATTTTTACTGAAAGTGTTATTATTGCATGATTTTATTAAACATACAAACGCGAGTGTATCGATCAGTACTTACTGCAGACATTTGTACAAATAGTCCAAGTAATTAACTACATTTCCGTCGATATCCGTCTCTGTTTTATTAAACTTAGTGTAGTCATTTTGAAAATATCCCCATATACTTTGCACAGTACAGAGATCAAGAGTAACTGGTCCGATAAATTCGCTTTGTACAGGGGCATAGCAGATCTTTTCTAGTCCTTCGCCGGTTTCTTGGCCTAACTGCACACAAACGTTAAAAATATTAACCTCATATCCTTAATTATTAAAAAACTGAGTAATAAATTTTCCTTAGACCAACGTACTTGAAGAATCTGCTGCTGCAGGTCATATACGTCTAACAAGAATTCTTCGTTAAACACTGGACCAAACTCTATAACTCCTATTGCAGTATTGTGCTTTACCTTTTGAACAAAAAAAATTTATTTTTATATTATAGAACAGTTTTTTATTATTATATCTCAGAAATATGTAATAATAAGTTCTTCTCTAATATAAAATTTTTTTATTTTTTTAATATTTTTAAATATTAAAATATATGTTATATATATGTTAATATATATATGTATGTTTTAAAAATCTAACGTTGTTGGGAAGAATGTTAACTTTAAATATTGTGGATTTATTCGGATGTTTATACAAGAATGTCAGGAATATATTAATTATTGTATTATAATTACTGCAACAAGTATTTTACCATGTCAAGACCAACAGACTTTATATAGATCTGCTCGGTTCGATAAAACGGCTGGAAACGACTATCGAAATAATCCTTTTCTATCCTCGCTCTGCTATTCGCTGCCGCCCATATTTCTATGGGGTTTACCGTTACTGAGAGGTAATTGATTCCATAACTCAAACCCAGAATGATGCACGAAATAGTGAACAAAGTAATAATAGGATACTTGGCGAACGCTGTTAAATATAAAGAATCGTTAACGTTTTATTACTTGCATCAAAAACTTCACATTTTGCGCATGTTATATGTATAATAGCATATGACAAGGAAATAATTTTTTAATAATATATAAAAAGAATAATAATTTATTTTAAATATTTTAATTTGCATTTAGCTGTACCTGTACGAGATATGTATTATTATATAATAACAATACTTTTTTATGCATATTTCACACAATACAATTTTTTTTATAAAAGATGCATAAAATAATATTGCTATTAATAAATTTGCATTATTAATAAGATATCACATTGTATATGTAAAATAACCACACTCATACATATGTAACATAAAATTATATATATAAAAAAAACAATTACCTGACCCCCAAGCAGCGAAAGCTACTTCGAAGACTTTTTGGTAGCTTTGCCTACAGTTTCTGTCTGTCTGTTTTGCTGGTGTCTTGAAAGAACCTAACAGTGCAGAAATTTAGAAGCAATTTCAAACATATATTAAATAGAAAATTTATAAAAATTCTAATATCAATTTAAAAATCTAATATCAATTGATATTCAAAAATTATATACAAAAATTCTAATATCAATTGATTGTCTACTGTTCATACCGTTTTTACGTTTCTTGATCACTGTGTATATGCCACCTATTATAATTGTAATCAAAATGACAAGTACAGCCGCTATGACTCCATAGCCATTAAATTCACCAATCATAAATGTATTGTTTTCATTAATGTCTAATTGTACGAAGGGACACGCGATGGGACAGTCAACGCAGCTGCAGACTTTAGATGAGTTCTGGCAAAATCAAATATGAAAAAAAAAAACATTTTAACATGTTGGATTTAAGATGAATAAATAAGTTTCAAAGTATCTTTGATTTGCGCAAAACACTATATAGAAATTCTTCTATCTCTCGCACTTACGTCATAAACCTCGCTGCAATTTTTGGTTGTTATATTCCATGGTTCGTCACCCCATTCGTCAGCTGAGTCGTAAATATATTCAATCACGAAAGGCTTGAAAGGGTTCAGTCTGCCCAAGTAGTCGTACCATCTTTAAAAATTATATACCATGTGTATTGTGCATGGTTTTGTTTTATTTCACTCAGTGCTTCGACAATCACACGTGTACGTCATACTGCTTACTTACAATTTTGGAGAGCATTTACTAGCTCCAAGTGTGCCACAACCTAAGTCCATGGCCAAATTTCCGCTGGTAGGATTGATAACGTTTTTGCAAGAATCATAAGTTCCATTTATAAATGCTTCCGTGGTGTGAACCTGTAGTACGGTCAGTAACATTTAATAATTCTATTACTGCATTCTTTTTAATTTTGCCGTCACTAATTATAATTATCTACTACAATTATTTGCTATATTATTTAATATACATATTAATTTATTATTTTTTTTACATTTATTATTATTAATTTTGTTACTATAATGTTTTATTATTTAACCTGTAAGAACTTAAACATATCGTCATACTTGTCTACTATTTTTTCTATTTTTTATGCTTGGATTTTTTTTTTAGGAGTTTACAATGTAAATATAAAATGCACTTCTGAAAATCACCTGAGATTCGATGACATACTCTATGCCATCTTCTTCGCCTTTATCAGTTACCTTCACGAATCGACCCTGTTCGGAGCTACATGTGAAGTCACAAATCAGTCGAAACATATTTCTTACGCAAGTTGGACACCTGCCGAAAACGCTTTCCGCCATATCCATGCTCGTATCCATTGTAAGGATTTGATTGGCATCGCAGCATGTTCGCTCCGGCGGCTCTATAGAACATCAAACACGTTCTAATTTATACGTAAACGCGCGTAATTGAAATTAAAGCTGGAGAGTAGGATCGCCTAAAAATTTATTAATATTTTCTTTTCAAATTGGGTTTTTCTCAAGTTAGTTGGAGAGTCATACAATACTTAATATAGGATATCATATACAGTCTGTCTACTAAGAGCGTGGTAGGCCTATCTCAAAGAAAAATGGCTTATTAGCCTTAAATTTATATTGATTATATTCAGTAGGATTATGGCCAAAATACAATTATATTAATAAGAAGTCCAATCACCAGCTGCGTCTATAATAGACTGGCACTTCTAATACATACTTTCCACTACAGTCTGTCTAGTAAGAGCGTAGCAAAGCTTATCCACGGTCGAGTAAAGATATATTCTGAATTTTTGTTTTTGCCGATAGGTGTTACCTTTGTACTGCATGCATTATTAGCAAAGTACCCGTTGTTGCTTGAACTGTGTTAGAATAAACGATTTTTAAAATGAGCTGCCTACGCGTCTCGTTTCAAAGCAGGCTTTATCTCTTTACTGATAACCTGAATGCTGAGAAAATGTTGAAAATATACCAAAAAGCTTTAATTCCGTCTGCCCAACGCTGGTTTATCAGTAAAGATAAAGATTGGTTACCCCAATTACCAAATGGGTTACCCCAAACACCGAAACTGGCTCTGCACATTCTGGAAAGAGGGAACATCGAGACATTCTACTGGCCTTCACAATCACCTGATGCGAATCCCATTGAAAATGTGTGGTAACTCATCAAGAGGAAGCTTCGTGAAAGACCGACATCAACTTCGAAGCGCTTAAAAAACGAAATTCGACGAATCTGGAGGTCTTAGCCGTGAATATGCGACTTCTTTAGTGGTCTATTATAGACGCAGCTGGTGACTGGACTCATTAATATAATTGCATTTTGGCCATAATCCTACTGAATATAATTAATATAAGATAAGGCTAATAAGCCAGTTTTCTTAGAGATAGGCCTGCCACGCTCTTACTAGACAGACTGTAAATCTAAAGAAAACTATTAAAATAAAAACCTGTATCAGACCGTATCAGAAAAAAGTATCAGAAAATTAAAATATATATAATCATATTTAATTTTTTATCATATAAAAACTTTAAAAAAATTCATTAATTGCCATAAAGTACGGATAAGTATATACGATAAAAATTTTATTGTAATGTCATTATTTCTTGTATAAATTACCACTTAAATTTTTCATTGAATTAGAATGCTCGTAATTATAAAGTGATCAGACCGACCCTTTGAGCGTCGGAATGGGGTTGTCGTTTTCGACTTCATTTCCTATCCTTGAAAGCGAAAGCCACTTTGCATCCTCTAATCACTATATAGCGATCGCGAATAAATCTCAAAGTAATATACTTCAATATATGTACAAACCGCCATTTTTGAAGAAATGCGGACATCTTTTCAACAAAACAGCTTCGGCCGTCAAATCGTTGATCGGCTGGGCCTTATTCTTTGCTACGCAAGTCCGTGGAAACATTGTCTCTAGATCTATTCCGCACTCACCATACCACGCGCACTGTTCATCCGCCGAGATCAAGACGTAACATAGAGCAAGAAAAAATCCGAACATTTCTAGTCGTGTCATATTGAAGGTATACTTGGAGAACGCTAATTAATCGGAAGATTTATATCAAAAAGAACGTTCCGAAATCATTCGATTCCACGTATTAATAACAGTCGTTGTTTAACGATGATGCACTATATGCAGCAACTGAACTTGTAACTTCAAGATGCTATTATCATCGACAAATAATCGCGAGCTAGATTAACGTGATAAATATCATTCTTTGACAATGCACTTTCTCGAACAAATTCCCATCTCGCGCTTCCATTCATTTTTGTAAATTAATCTTTCCCGCGCACAATTAATAAATCTCTCCACGCGTTAAATGCTCGATAAATGTATATCATTTATTTTAGCAGTAAATAATTTAATTTCTTTATTATATGATATAAACTTGAATCTAACTTCAAATTTGACGGCTTTGTTTTCGTCAAATAATTTACTATAATTCTTTCGATATAATTTTATGTAATCACTGTAATCACCAAAATATCGCGATTATGTTTTGCTTTGCAAATTCTCTGTCTGTTTCACTTTGCGGATTGCCACTCGCCAGTCAAACTGTCGGATTTATTAATGAGTTTCGAGATTTTTATATATTAATGGGCATTATATTCTCTTTTCCAGATCGAACGAACAACTGTCTCGGATTATCGACGTACATTATTATATCAAATTGTATTTATCGGACCACCTGTTCCAATAACTTATCACGCAGGTGAGAATTCTGTTTCCTTATCAATAGCGGAATATAGCATAGCTGATAGATGAAGACGTTAACACTTTTTCGGTTGTTTAATTGAGATCGAATTAGATAAAATATTTAAAAACAAAGAAAGAAAAAGGCAAATAAGAATCAAAAAACATAAATACAATCTACAAAATCATCATATGATGCAATGTATTTAGTTACTAAATTAAATCATGTAATTCAGTTCTACATATAAAACAAATTAAAAATTAAAAACTAATTGAAAATTAAATATCAAAAATATAACGTTTTGGCTGTGTATTTGAGAATAAAATATTTATTTGTGAATACTCATCACGATAGATGCTGTATGTGATAACGATCATTATCTTCTTTCGTTTTATTTTAGGAGAATATAGAACATAATTTATACTAGAAACAAACAAATATTATCGCAATTACAATATTTGATTTTTTTATTCTCAATTAAAATAACCTTTTTTAAATAAATACGAATGTTTAAAAATATTCTTTCTAATTCCTAAATAAATTAAATTTATGAGTGTTTAGGAGTCAATTTGTGTATAGGCTTAATTACTTAGTTTGATCATCTGTTATGTTTATTAATCATTTTACAACTCAATCTAAAATTTTATCAAACACCTGTGAGTTATCGATTCTTATACATATCTCATGAAACAATGCGATAAAACCAATGTATTTATATTGCAGCACAAGTTTAAAAGAACATACGATACTGATGTATAGACGTGTGATTTTTAATACAATTTTATTTTAATGCTTTATTTTTATTATTATTCTTAAATTTTTAAAAACTGCTTTAATATTTAATGATTAATTGTAAGGAGTCAAATTTTAAAAACATCAATGAAAAATATGTATTATACAATAAAAGTAACAGCTTTATTTAACAAAATTATCCGATAATAATTAATCTTAACTGTACTCATAATTTTTATTTATAAATAGTGCAGTATATAGTAAACAATATATATAGTAGTTTGCAGTATATAGTACTTTACAATTTTAGTGTCGAGTTGTCTGTCCACCCGATTATCTAGCGCAAGATGATTTCTCAAAACGACTTAACTTTTTCAAATTCTGTTTTTGACAATAGATACTCAAGAATCTTGGCTCCATCGAGGTAAAATCAAATCAGTTGATCACACGAGGTTCAAAAGTTAAAGTCGATTTTAAATTTCAACAAATTAAATTAACAATAAATTATATCATCAATGCGATAATTCGGACGATAGGAAATTCCAAAATGAGATCAATTTGCACTGCTTATCGTCGACAGATAAAAGGGAATAAAAAGAGACAGGACTTCCATAATGAATAATCATATTTTAATGACTCAATGATTGTACAAATGGATCACTCTTAAACGTCTCCGCATTACAACCGAGGAACAATAACAACGAATACAGCAATCATCGTAATCATAATATATTCCATTGCTAACGTACCGTTTACGTAACGAGTCTGAGAAAACGTAAAGGGTTCTTTTTATACTCTCTTGCACATACTATATATTTCCACTTACATACGCTGCAACATTTAATTAATCTCATCCTTGGTTCTCGCCACCTAGCTCGTTTTACGCAAAAAAAATTCGTCTCGGCGTATATATCTCCATCTTCTTTTTCTCGTTTTCCTCTGGAAAGACTCATTACATCGTTATACGCTATCTCGTTTCGTTATCACCCGCCCCCATTCTTTCCCTCAACTGTGCTCCTAATGTCCCCTTTTCTCTCTTATATATCTTATATATTTATATATATAATAATCCTACTAATCCCACACACATTTCTCTTTGAAACTTCCCCTTTCTCGTTCTTATGCTCTCATATTTTCTCTCTCTCTCTCTCTCTCAATATAGTATTCTCGGTGTCCCCAATAAATATCGAAGGTATCGCCCTAATCGTATATACCCCCAAATATTACTATGTTCAACGATAGCGATAAAGTTTATATATATCTATCAATAAAATTTCTGGAAGAATGTCAATAATCATACAATAGACGATCAATCGTTCGACGATCCACTGCGTACCCGGGGGGCGAAAAATATGAAACTTGGTACTAGGCCAACTATTTGGGATACGTCTCCGAGCTAGAGTGTCTCGACCCTGTTCGATTTTTGTTTTCTCCGATCTGACTTATCACCGAGGAAAGTGCGTAAATTGTGGGGTTGGATTCGTCGGGAATCGCGAATAATCGAATGGTGGCTTGTTCAACCCTTTTCGCAGACCATTTTCATCAATAATAATTAATAGACACCAGGATATCCACGAATAAATTTCTAGCATCAATTTACAAAAGTTCTTCCAAAGTATCTAATCTTTAAACAACTATTTAATTACTCGCTTTCTCTGCAGAATATATTATTATATCTTTTTGATTAAAAAGAAAAACTTATAGAAGGTTAAATATTAGATAATTATAAGATCATCTGCTATTCGATCTTTTTTTCAATCTTTTCTTTTTATTTTACCTATTATATTTTGCATGTGAAGTTCCCATGATTCGGCGAACATAAATATGGAACAAACGATATTTGAAGATGATATAAATTGTATCATACAACGTACATTTATACGCGTTTATCTTTAGAAATGCCTATAGTTGAATAAAGCTTAATCTTTGATATCATGTTTTAACTTTTACAGACAACACTACGGGATTTCTTAAATGAAAAGATAAAGACAGATATAAGGCGCACTATCTTAAGCTCGATTAACTCTGAGTAGAGGACACCTGGCTGCGATAAGGTGGCGGCGACGAGACGCTTTTCATCATTTGTAAGTATATTATAGATATGAAGAAAGCATCCGTACTCCAAATGCACAATCGTGCTTACTACATTGTTTACGCAGCTGCGGACTGGACTTTAGCTTTATCAGAGATATAATGTTCATGTCGTAAAAAAAGATAAATCAACTTCACGTTTATCGCAGACCATCTAAGATGGACATCCAAGATTGTCCTCCGCAAGACTTTTTAGACAGAAAATCTTCGTATGACCGCGAACTTCGTATGTCGTCCAAAAACAGTACCATTCGATATCGCGACAGTAACTTAATTATAATCGCTATTATCCGCGCAGGAGCGACTCCTCGGGCGCGTCACGCACTTTCCTCAGCTTCTCTTTCTCGAATGTCCTCGTAGATCCTTCGACGGGAAGGATACGGGGGTCGAGGAGAAAAAGAAACATCGACTCTCGCTCGGAGGCGCGCCTTTCTCTTGACAGAATTTATACAATAAAATTTATATATAGTAGACAATGCAATAATTCGAGCAACAGAAGGTCCTCCGTAAATTTTTTTTCCTTAAATCTGCACGTGTTCTTGCCTATAGTAATTAGTAAGTAGGTATCTTATTATTTTTTTTCGCTGTCAGATCTTAACCGATGCCTTATTACATATATTTCGTGTGATTGTTTCGTGTACGTCACGCGATCGCACGTAATTTGTGTCCACGTGTACGTGTCTACGTGACGTGTATCCGCTCGTTCCTGCCATCCTTTTTGTTAACGTATCATTAAGTAATTAGTTTCAATAGTAATTAATTATAATTCGAAATTGGATCAATAAGAATAAATCTAATTAAGAGAAATCTTATTTTCAATCAAAACAAATTCAAATATTTTAGTGTGAATTAATCAAGTAATGAGAACAAAACTAGTTTTATAGCCATTAGAAATGCCTGTTTCAATTTCTCCTAGGAAAAATTATTTAAATTATACGAAGCACAGTTTAATTTCTTGCATTAGAAACAAGAAAGATCATCTCGAGGAAAAATGATTTTTACAGAGCGAAAATTAATAACTTCAGTTTCATAAAAATTACGATACGATTAACGAACTCGTTGCTTATCGTAAGTAATTGTTCAGGAAAATCGAAGTGTAGAATCACAATGTTAAATTGTTCAAGTCATTCGAGATAATAATGTTATCTTGCTTTTGATGCATCAAGTTTCTATGTAAATTCCCGTTCATTCACATCGGTGTGTCAAGCGACATCTTGATTCTTTCAGAGTAACTCGAAATTTTCTGTATGCGTGTTTGATGTTGGACATAATTAGTCAGTGATTACTAATACCAGTAGTTATTAATCGCCAAAATTACACGATTATTAGTCGCGATAAGTCCGGCGATAAATTTTCATTGAGATTTTACCTTCTGACGAACTCTCGTGCTTGAACACTATTATGAGTCAGTCTGATATTAATCCTACTAATTATTGCTATATGGCAATTTTGGCACCACGTTCGTCACACTTTTTAGACACGTTTTTCGATAAACAAAGAAGATTCCGACATTTTTTTTCGAAGAACGTGTCTCCCTGAAAAATTTCTTAAATGTAACGATTTTACAATTTGATTCTCGCTGACACTTCTACCTTCTAGAGACTTTTTTGCGTAGGATGGCAGGATCCGTACGTAATGACATACTCGATTTTATGCGGAAAAAAGAAGAAAGAGCTCTTGTCGTCCTTGGTCGTCTTGACACGTTCCAAGATAAACCTGACAAACGCACAATCAATTTTGCAGCATAAAAGAATTTATAAGACGAAATCGATCTCTATTATAGTTCTTGACTGCCTGCCCCTTTTCCCTGAAAATAATAGCTTCGATCTTTTGTTATTTACTGAATAAAGAATTGCGAGATATAAGCGAAGTACGAAATAAACAATTCTTAAAATATCAATTTAATTATTCCTTTTAAAACTTAAAAGGTAGCTCGAATTTACACAGTAAAACTATAAATGAATACGATTGAAAAAATATGTTGCTAAATAATAGTAATATAAAACGACAGCAATAAATTTATGTAAAATCATCTAATAATCTTGATAATCGAGTCTGGCAATCAAGCTGACGAATTATACCACTTAATGCAATTTCGCAAAAGCACGTGTCTCAGAGGTATCCGCGGTGGATTCGTAAAATCGTAAGAAATCTGTGTTAAAGCACGTACACCAGATGCGTGGTAACGCGCTCGAGATGGAAGCAATATTACAGCGTTCGATAAAATATTCATTAAATGTCACGGATAAAATTCCCGCGGCTCGCGCGGCCCGCCACGAAGGAAAAGGAAAGGATCAAACGAGTCACCCGTTCCCCGTCTTCTTCCTATGCACACTGTACAATAGTATTTCGTCCGGTATAATTAGTAGATATTTGTATAATTACACTCCTCGGAAATATACTAATAATTGACGCGATTTCGCGAATACGTATTAACACGACTTTTTTTTTTTTTTTTTTTTCATATAATCGACGCAACCGCATTTTCCGAAAAGCATTAATGTCGAAAATTCGTCACGTTATTAAACTCTTAATGATTCTTCGTCGATCAATTTCAAATTTCGTGAATAAAGATGTCTCTTTCTGCTTTCTTTCTAGATGCGCACGCAGCACCGATCACTCTCGTATATCTGTATAAACTTATCGTATGTATGTAATAACATTGTATAATATTGTTATTATAATATCGTATATTACAATATTATAATATCAAAATATTATACGCTTCAAACACGAATATCATGACGAGAAGCGCGTTCATTCGAACTACAAATCGTCACGGATAACAACGTGCTGAATATGAGCGTCTACATCGTATATATCAGTACTATTATTATATTAAATTCCATCATTCATCGGCAATTAAATCTTTTATTTGTCCACGATCATCGATTCGGAACGCTGAGGGAAGACGTTAACGATCTCTAAACGATAATTCCATACACCCCTACCGTACCCCAATTGATCCCTGCTAATTTATCGCTGTAGAAAATCTCTTGATGATTTTATCGCAAGCGATACGATACAGGCACAATCGGTATTGGCATAGAGGCGTGTCGATACCCAATTTCAGCAAAATCCAGGCGACCTGAGGCATCGTCCTCGTCATTCTAACGTCGAACTGTCGTCGAGGAAGGTCTAAGCTCGTAATGTATGATTCCCCGGATCCGCTAGTCGATTTCAGTGATCAACGCTTAGTCCATAGCTGGAACCGTATGAATCAATAGATAAAAGAACAATACCAAAGTCGGAGATTTCCTCAAGCGAAAAAAGCGACGCGTCGACGAGACGCTGCCTCAAACGTCGTCCAGATCCGTTCCTTTATTGTCCTATTCAGGAAACGCGGTCGCCGCAAATTCGCAAACGTCTTCCTTTCGGGTCCGATAAGACTGATCGACATCGTTGTGCGCGACATCCACGTTCCTCGAGTATGCATACGGGTTGTACACGTGGTGATGCGAGATGACAGGACATCCAGAATGTCTTTCTTTTCTTGGTAAATATCTTACGAACGCTCTCGTCCTCTATGATATTCTTCAAATAATCGAGAATGCTCTTAGGAGTCTCAAGAAATTCTTTGGGAATATTTCCGGAATATCTTGAGATATTCGCACAAAAAACATTTTTCGAATTATCTTCGTAAAGAGTTTTTGAGAAAATATTCTTCTTTTCTGAGACAACACCCTCAACTCCCACCACCAATCGTGCATAAGTGATTGCATGTCACGTATGGAAACGTGTGTATAATGTGTGACTGTGTTGTGTATATATATTTTTTATTTATACATATTTTTTTGGTTGTAAGTATACGTCTATGTGGATACTTTCTGTCGTCTAATTTACACGTATTAATCCCTCGATACCATTCTTAATTTATCGTAATACCCATTAACAACGCGGTATATATGTCGGATTATCGTGAAGGGTTTCGGTGCCGATATCGTCCATCCCTAAAATTCAATATGTATGTACGTTTTAAAGTACGAGTGTGCGCCTCTTTTCTTTATCTCACTCTCTTTCTCTCTCGTTCATTCTCTCTGCACTCTAGTCATGGGCCTTTAGTGCATCTCGTTATGCCGGCGCGTCTCACCCCGCAGCTCGAGCACTCTGACCATCATACTCATTCACTCTTTTCCTCTCTGTCACTCTCTTCTTTCTCCCTCTCTTTCTCTCTTTCTCATGCACACACATAGACTCTCTCGCTCGCTCAGTCGTTCTCTTCTGTATCTTAAGTAACGTTAAAAATAAAGTCTGCTATATTGGCGAGGATGCTCGACCCTGAAAACAGGTTAACACGCGGCGGAATGATTTTTTAATTTCTCTTTTGAGGGAGGGGAACCGTGGACGACGTTACAATGCAATTCACAAATCCATCTCTTCTCTCTTTTTCTCTCACATAATATTCCGTATGTATATAGTATGTATACATATATTTTTGGTGTACGTATATATATATATGTATATATATATATTGTATATATACAAATATATATTTACATATCGTAATTGAATTCGCTTTAACTGCTAAGACTTACTCACTACGCGCGCGAATCGCTTTTTCGATCTCTCGTTTCTTCTTCCTCTTTTCTTCTTTTTTTTTTTCAAATGCAGGTCTTATAGTCTCTCTCTCTTTCTCTCTCTCTGCTCTCACAGTCCTCACGTCATCCGGCGATCGTCAATGGTGTGACGCGCATCACGACGGTTTTATATAATAATAAAAAAATGGGAGGGTGTGGGAGAACGCGCGATTGTGGAACGATGGGAAACAACGTAACGAGCGCGCCTACGCGCGAGCATTCAATCGCGAACACGGTTACGTGTAATTATAGTGACGCGGTGTGACGATAAATATCATTACATTATATACAGAGTCGATTATCTTTCCGGATCATCTGCGCCGCCGTCCACGCGGAAACAGGAGCGACAGGATCGAAGAATGAAGCCTCGATCACTGGCGACTCTCGAAGAGGCGACCGAATCACGCCTCGTAAAACCAGTAATGTTAAACTTATGTCGATGGGTGCTATGAAATAGAGACATCTGAGAGGCGACAGTTTGACCAATTGTTCTTAAGTCTCTCAGGCACGTTGCGCTTACAACCTCGATTATTTAATCTCGCCTTCGAGCTTCTCCCTTTTCTGTATGTATAGATTGCTGCAGAGTGGAAAGCATTTTATTGTTTAATTTATATAAAAATCAATATGAAAGGAATCGTCTTTATAAACAAATTTTTACGTATAGAAATGGATAACAAAATTTTATACTTTGTCCAACTTAAGATACACGCTTTTATAGGGTTTTCTTATTAAGATTAAAAATATTACAGTTGCAATTATAACATTGGCTGAAATAAAAACAGAAAAATTAAACTAATAAGAAACGATGTGTATAGAATGTACGTCTGAAAGAAATTGGACCTAAACTATTCATTAAGTAAAATAAGCGTCTTGAAACTCAAGATTTTTTATTGTTTATTCTATTATTCCAGTCTTTCGCGATCGACGTTTGATTACGAAGAACTAGAGCGACTATTCATTAATGATGTATTCGTCGCGGATTATTCGTTTTCAGAGTCAACGATCTGCTCAGCATCGCCTCGATCTTCTACGACTTTAGGATCAGCGTTACGATTGTCAAAATCAAAATTATTTAGCATAAATCGGGCATTCTTATCTTAATTTAATGACACATTCTTTATCTTAACTTTAATACCGTTTTTATTTTGTTTTATTTATTGTTTAACTATTTAAATACGTTGACCGTCAAAAGACGAAGGAGGAAAAGATACTTCGATAAAATTCTCCAGAGCGAGGTGGAAGCCCGATCGAGCATCTCGCTTACTCCCGTGCGAAATCGATGGTACAATCGATTATGTTGTACACATGCACGCAAAGCACATACGGATTTCCTGCTGGAAGACGAAATGAGGAAGAGAGTGGAGGGAGAAAGCGCAGTCTTCGCGAATTTCCACGTGGGCGGCAGATGCCTCATGTATCGTTATCGTAATAATTGGAATAATCGAATAATTATCTCTGTGTCGAATAATTACGCTTGGTGGATGATAGGTGATGTCGTTGGTGGTAATAATGGTAGTAGTGGTGGTGGTGATGGTGGTGCCGATCGCGTTTAATGATGGCGGAACTTAACGGTATTATCGTTAGCGAGTCAGCCTCGATATTATCCAACTTAAACGTGATTATTAAAGTTAGGTTGTTGAGCAGAATTGTTGATTTCTATCAGAGACTTTCGGGAGGCGCTGTGGCTCGAGCTCATGTCCGCAAACTCGCCGGCCGACTTACCCTTGCGTGGCAACGTAGTGGCCTCCCCCAGGGAGGGTAGTTCTCGTGGCTTCCAGATCGGCGAACCTGTGATACATTAAAGATCAATGCTTTACGTATTTTTTTTTTAAGAGAACAAAACACTAAATCTTATTATATATTTGACTTATGCCTGCTTCCACCAATAAAGATTAACTTTAATCTCGGTTTAACTTATTGTTCAACTTTTTCTAATTTTTAGAACTAGAAAAAGACGAAGAACAAATTGAACCGAGATTAAAGTTAATCTGCATTGGTAGAAATAGGCATTATTGGTACAAATGTTCTAATATTATATGAAAAAAGGTTTAAAATTTCGCGGAATACGAATCTGAAAATAATTTTGTCGGGCCATTAAAATAATAATATTGGAAACTAAAAAATGATGACCAATCTATGAAAAAATTTGATACTCTATTAACCAGTTTCCAATAATATTATTTTAATGGCCCGACAAAATTATTTTCAGATCCGTATTTCGCCAAATTGTAAACCTTTCTTTTTCAAAATGTTAAGTTTTCAAAATCTTTCTCTTTCTGTATAGTATTAAAAATAATTACCGCAAAATAATTGCCAAGTAAAAATATTATGTATCGAAAATTCTATTGGATTTCATTAAATTGAAAATTTTCATTTATAATATATATATTATTATCGTTAATGAGAGATTGGAAGATTTCAATTGATTAGTTATTAACTAAATTTAAAATGTTTAATTGAGAGAGAGAGAGAGAGAGAGAGAGAGAGAGAGAGAGATGTATATAATGAATTTTAATTAATTAATAAATAATAAAATAGCTTTGATATTGGTACGTATGGGATCGAAGAATCGAAGAGGTCCACAAATAATCGAATCAATTATATAAACGGCTCTTTATTTAGCTGTATACATAAAACGTGAAAGTGTATAATTAATTGAACGTAATTGGGTAGTTAACTTTTAGGGTGCCTGTTGGCACCGGTATGTGTGTTGTGTGGGCATGTAAGTCTTATACTCTTCCGAGGAGTCCGTCCGGAAGAGTTCCTGCAGCCTCTGCTTCTTTCTCTTCCTGCGCTGCCCTAGAGTTCGAGGGTGCTTCCGAGGTGTCTCCGCCACCGAGCTGATCTGCCCTGCTGCTGGCGACGGCCGTGTAGGAGATCCGAGGTGAAGGTCCGTCTGGGTTGCAACGGATCTAGTGACTGCCCGTCTCCGTCGAGGATCCTGAGGAGGGCTCTCTGGTGAGGACTCTAAGGGTGCGAATCGCCACGGAAGCAGAGAGATCCCTTTGTTAAGCGGTTTCCTCAAAACCAGAGCATCTATAGAACTAGGCTGGTTCTGTTGGCGTCGTCGTGGCAGAGTGATGACGAAATACCATGTGTTGGTATGATATTCAATGCAGAGGCCCTGAAGGAGCTCACTCTGCAGATACTGTGGTCCGTGGTGGAGCTCGCTTTGCGGATGCGAAATGACAGAGGCCCGTAGTAGAGCTTGCTCTGTAGCAAAGGCCCTGATGGAGCTCGCTTTGCGGATGCAAAATAACAGAGGCCCGTAGTGGAGCTCGCTCTGTAGCAAAGGCCCTGATGGAGCCAAGGATGCCATTTCAGGGACGGTTTACGACATCGCAACTAGCACCATCAATCTGCGGCCTAGTGCGACTGCTAGTCATATATAATGGATACATGGACATAAGTCATAATGGCTTATGTGTGACTAGCAGTCGCGCTAGTTGCGATGTCGTAAACCCCGTCTCTGAAATGGCATCCCTGGATGTAGCTCGCTTTGCGGATGCAAAATGACAGATGTCCGTAGTGGAGCTCACTTTGCGGATACTAGATCTGACACACGTTAAAGGCTCTAAAGGAGCTCACTCTATCTGTGAGGGAAAATCTGCTGGATGGTCTTTCGGCACTTTATTTATCACCCCGTGCGGGGTGATATTGTTTGCGAGTTAACGTTCAATCACGTGGCCCTCAAGCCGGCGGTCGGAACTCCCACCGGGCGGGCGCCGCGCCCCGCGCCAGGCAAGCGCCGGCGTTATTGCTTCAGGGGCGGCGCGCCTCAGGCACTCGCACCTCAGGCGCTCGCGTCCGAATGGCTCGAATTATGGCGATTGAGCCGCTATAGATATAAATTTTGACAAGCGCAAAATGCTAATAAATGATATACTTACCAAGTTCCTTAACGGTAATAGGTTGGTAATTCTCAGGCTGATGGGAAGACTGAATCAATCTAGCCTGGCTGCCAGTACTTCCTGCCGAGATAGTCGACGTAGTGCTCAGCGTCAGATGATTAGGTGTGCGGCCGAGAGTCGTCTTCTTCTCGCCTAAAAAAGCCTGCGAGTCTTCCTCACCTTCAGACTTAGTACCCGAATCCATCTCGACTTTCGCTTCGCCTAAAACCCAGAATAATAAAGCATTGAATAATTTGCCAATAATGACTTCCATTCTAATTGAATTATTGCATGGCTTTGTGCTTTTATATTGTTTTATAAATATAACTTAAATATTTTAAATGAATTTAAAATATAGATAAAAACTTTTTTAAAATTAATGAACATAAATAATTAAAGATTATAAGTTTACATATCAGTAACCCATGTACAAAAGAAGATCTTGCCTAAAAATAAGACTTGTTTTGAACAAACCAGAGTCCGTCTTACCAGAAGTATCGCTTATGGTCTTGCTCCTGGAGCGGAATGTTTGTTGCTGGGGAGCCGGCGCGTCCTCTTGATCCTTATCCTCAGAGCTTTCATGTTCCACTGGCTGCTTCGAGTGACTATATTTGCGCTTCTGCGAACTGGATAACAGTTGCTGCTTCATCGCCTTTTTCGAAAGCGTACCCGTTATGCCATTTCCGTTTTGCGCCTGTTGTTTGTTAAACTTTTCCACGTGGCCAGTCGACATTCGCGGTGCCATCGACATCGGCGCCTGACCCATATTCTGTTTTGTTGAAGGTATGCTCATATTTCTCACCGACTCACGGATGATCTGTCGGATCGTCTTTAGGAACGCATTACGGAACTCTGTCGTACTGAGAATGTGAAAATTTAAAGCAACGTGAGATACGAAAATTGTTTTATTTAGTCATTTGTACAATGATAAAAAATAAATTCAATAACATTCTATTAGTATGACTGGTTATGACTAGTTATGACTTCAATTATTGTAACATGAAGGTTTTAATTATTTTGAACACTTAACTTTGTAATGGGCAAAAGATTTAATCTAAATTGATTGCAATGTCATATTACTAATAAGTACTAAAGAACACTTAATTCGAAATCGAATTGTTTTTCAAAGATATTTTTTTTTTAATGTGAAAAGTGTAGTGGAATACATTGGTTTGCAAAATGGAAATAATTTAATTAAAACATGGCAACTGGATAAACGAAATATTATTTAATTTAGCAGCAATTTATTTTCAATCTAACAATATATCTTAATTTTCCTGTTCAATTAATGGCAGTAAAATTATATTAGCTGCGTAAATTTGATTGCAGTCAAATGCCATGAATCAATTGCCATGGATACAGGTCAAACCGCGTTATACTTTGTTATTAAATTTTATAAATTGAGATGGTTTATTTTTTTTAGAGAATTTATTTTCGCTTTTTTATTTAGATTTGTTTTAATTTATATTCGTCAATTCAATAATTAATCAATGGAGGCAAAATTTTAGGAAAATACCTGTTGGAGAGCACGTATACTTTTTCCGATCTCCTTTGTAATTGACTTCTTAGATGAATCAATTCCCACAAGAAGTGGGATTCCATATCCTTGGCGGAACTGGCCCTGACCTGGACTTCTGTCACCGGGATTAGCACCTGATAACGGATGATCTCTACCTCACTTGAGTTAGCCTTCGTTGAAACTCCCTATAAAAATAGATAGACAACGACGTCTTGAGTATTAAAAGCATTACGGATCTATTCATCGATATAGAAAAATGGGTCACATGAATGAACACTGACCATGAGCTTCTTTTTCTGTCGCAACCTCTCCTTGCACAGGAACACAACGGCTGATTTAAACACGAAGCACATTGCATGCAACTCGAGACCCTTCTTTATCTTGCCGAGAAAGTCGGAAATATTGAGCCACTCAACACCGCCGTAGTACAAAAGATCGCCTGGACTTAAGTCAATCGGCTACCAAGAAATTAATGCGTCAATCAACGATATTCTAAACTATTCTCTGTATAATGTAATGTAAATTTAAAAATTATATTAAATTATATTAAAATTTTATATACTCAGAACACAAGAAGATTCGAAGTTCAACATAAAATCTAATAATAACTAACTCACCTGTTTACAGGATTTTTGGTGTTGCCTAAACAAGTGATCGAAAATAGCGCCGTACTCTTCATGAATTCTCTGCATCTCGTTTATGTGTTCCGCCACCTTTTCCATACCTTTGAGCGCCTCTGCAATTTACACGTTCATGATTAAATCTTTGATAGCGTCTTAAATTGTTTGTTACGGCGGCACAGTGTTGTGATAACTACCGATTAAGTGTTGGTGTTCTTCGCTTCGTTCATCGGTGAGATTCCTAAGCTGCTGTAACAGCAGCGGATACTTGAGTATTCTTTGTATAGGTTTTATTAAGTACGATTCTAAGGTCGACGAGTGTTGCTGTCGAGGATTTCTCGCTTGCAGGAACTCTTGTAAAGCTTGATTTCCTTCGTCTGAAATTGTCAATTATCTCTGATAATTATCGGGAGATTGCCTCGTTCCGTCGTAATGATAAAAAATGCGATTTGCACGAAAGGAAAAAAAACGACTCGTCCGGCCTGTCATTAAAATTTAGATTCTAGGACATTTCTGCATAAAATTGTTGCATTTAAAATTGAATAGATAAATGCAATGCCTTACTTAGCGTGTTAAATTTTCAGAAAATATAAGATAACATTTTGCGGAATAATAGGTGTGTAACGTAGAAAATGGCCGAGCATTCTCTTTGAATGGTTAATGGCACAGGCTCTAGCGGTACAAAAATGTCATCCACTTGTGGAAGGTTGACACGAATAATAAACCGGATAACTTTCCGGATACAATACTTTTATAAAGAGTAACTTTTATAGAGAGTAACGATTGAGGTTAAAGTTATTCCCGGCGAATGAATTATCGATTGCGAAGAATCAGGCGTGTTAATGTGAATGAGGAAGTAAAGGTCGGCACTCGCGAAAAAGAAATCAAGGTATTTCAAGAAGGAACTTACTTGGATGTAAAACTTTCTGAGCCTTCGAATGACTGGCGCAAAACGAGCTGTATAGTTTGAAGTGATTTACGTAATATAAGAAGGCACTTCCAATGGAAAACAGGACTCCCTGTAATAGCCATGAGAAGTGATATGAGTTTTAATCTGAAAGCTTATTGATCAAACATAATTTAATACAATATTAAATTTTAATACTAATATATTTGTGCTGTTAAAACAACAACGTATATTATTTTTCATTTAGGAAATACGAGGAAAAACTTCTAAAAATGTTTAATAATTATAATATTTATTATAATAATTATATTATATTATTTTAATTATCGCTTTACAAATAATTAAAAATTTTAAATAGGTTAATCTTAATTTTTTTTATTTATAAAATATTATTTTACTATTATCAGTTTACAATCAATTATTGAATAAATAAATAAACTATGAGTTATGTAATTAGACTTGAATCAAAAGTGCACACCTTAAATTGACTCGGATGGTCAAAACTGTTGAAATCGGCCTCCATCTCGATGGCGTGATCGAGATTTTGCAGGAACTGTCGTTGAAACGTGACAATTTCCTGAATATTACCAAACAGCGCGTTGATCTCCGCGTTCGACAAGAAGGTTTCACGTTTAAGGGGTTCCAAATAGTTCTCCAGCAAATTATTTAAATTCTACGAACATAAACAGGAAGAAATTCATCAGGCAGCCGCATTAATCTATTAATATCTATATACATGCAAATCCGTCATATAAAGCTATAATAATTATAATACTCAATCTTCATTACCTTTACGTAAGTCCGTTCAGTTTCAATCAGTTCTAAAATCACTTTCTTCAGTTTCTCAGCGTCGCTTAGCTGCCGACTCGGTGTGAGAGCCTGTGAGTGAGAACTGACTACGCTTCCGGTGGGACTTGACTTTCTGGTCTCACCTGGAGAACGACAAATTACTGTCACCTGCTCAGCAGTTTTCAAAAGATTCTCAATCTCAAAGGAATTTGTGCGCGAGCTTTGCTTGTTATCCGTGTGACTGGCTGACGAGCATTCTTGCATAATATTCTCCTTGCCTGCATCAGTAAAATGAAATTCGCATTATATCAAGATGTGCTACAACGCACAAAAGTATAATATTATAAGTATAATAATTATATTAATTAATAATATAATTTTTTCTGTATAATTTATTGATAATGATTCGTAGTATTTAAAGTAGTGCACGATTACTTTTGATGATAATTTGTTATTAGAAGAAACAATATATAATTTGAAGTAAAATTTGTTATAAAAATAATAATCAAACAAAAACATTTTTTAAGTAATTATCACATAGATTTAATTTCGACTGCATTAGAAAAATCGATTTTCCAATATCTAAAACCTAATATAACTTTTGTTACTTCATTGCCGTTACATTTCAGTAAAATATAAATCGCGCCGCACTTAACAATAACAAAATTAATCGCGTGTCTTGATATATTCTGTTTCAAAAGCAACGTGTTTTCTTTACAGTAATTTACTTTTATGATTTACATATGTCCCATTAATTTAATGGGGCTTATCTTTAGAAGTAGTATAATCTTCAGTAATAGCAGTAATAAAAATAGCCCTTAATGAAACAATTTCTTGGAGAATAAGACGAAAGGACTCACTCCATCCGGGTGCCGGCACAATTAGACCGGAAATCATTTCTTCGCTGATTACTGGCGGGTCGGTAGGCGGCGGTGGGCAGACCAGGCTCTCAATTATGTCATCGGTAACTCGCATAATGCCTGTGAGATCCGGTGGCTCCGTCCTGGAGGATCGCATCATCATACAGAGACCTACCTCCTCCTGTAGAACACTCTCTAAGTACATCATATCCAGGTCACTCACGATGGCGCCGTTGATTACCATAATCTCGTCACCCTTAATGATTCCTGAAAATAGAGTCGCCACATAAAAATTTATCCTCTCTAGAGAGGATTTGTGTTGGAATAGAATATTTGCGAGCGTAAAATTTTTATCGATAATAAAATGTTTATCGTTGGCTGACAACATTCAAAGATTAGCGGAATTGTATAATCACTCTTCATCGTTGACGTGAACAGTCTTTACTTTATGAATAATCGTCCAAGTAAGTCTTTGTCAGTAATATTCATAAATTTAGGATTTGCAATGTAATAAAAAAAATTAATTAGCACGATCGCGACTACTGTTTTATAACTTTTAAGTAGTATAAGTATCTTTTAATTCCGACTGACATTTTTCGCGGCTGCCTCACGATGTGCCTGTAAAGATGATCCAACCGCTCAGCTCGGTATCTTTCACAACTATAATAAGTAGCTCCCTTCGGTCGTGTTTAACGAGCAAGCTGCCCGATAAATTTAGACAGGATTTACGGAAAGGCGGCGCTAAATGTCATTCTGATTTGTTCGCGCCTGCGGCCCTAAGATCGTCCCACCCCCGGTGTGTGCACATATATGCAATATATACATATATTTATTCTATACATATTTCTTTTTTTACACGCATTATACGCGCTTCATTTAACTGTAAGCACGAGACTGTTCAGCGAGCAAGCGACGATGCGCGGAAAATCGATGATTTTTCAATGGCGTCCTTGCACATCTTGGCGCCGCGCCGACGCGGTCTAAAAAAATTAATACAATCGGACCTTGACATAAGTCATGTTCTAAGACCAGCAAGAAGTTAAATCGAGAGTAAATAAGCGAGATAGTAAACTTAAAACACATCATTTTTATTCCTTTAAAATTATTTGATATACTAATATGTAACACAAATCTATGCAGATTAATTTCATAATTTGTTAATTTCTTTACTCTTTTAATTTTAGTAAGAAAATCAATATTAATTCTAATAAAAGCCAAACAAACTTTTTAATCAATTTAATTATTTTATTTATTTTATTATTTAAAAATTTTATCACGTAAAGTTAATCAATTAATAAAGGATCAACAGTGTTTAGATTATAATAAAGGCTGAACAATGGGAAAAAATTATCGTTAATAAATAAGGAGAAATAAAAAGACCTTGTAACGATGGAAACTTCTAATTGTTGCGCTCGAGGGACGTTTATTTTAGTTAGACGTTGTCCTAGATAAGGGATGCTTACCGTTTTGCATGGCGACACTCTTGTCTTCCACTCTACTAACGTAGCAGCAGAGCTCATCTTGCCTATCGGAGTTTTCTATGAGCTCCGCCTCGACGGAGAAGCCCCACATTTGTTCTAAAGTGTTTCTTTGCAATTCCACTTGATATAAAATCTTGGCACAGACTTCCACGATTTCGTGCGTATGCAACTGCATGCAGCAAAAAAGTTACGTTAAATTTTCACTATAAGAAATCGCTATTAAAAGTCATAGCAATTTTGATCAATTTATGAAGTACTTGATTACTTAAAAATAGAAAACAATCTTTATAACGCAAATTTTAATTTTCTATTTAATTAATTAATTGTATAATTATTTAATAATTAATTTCTTCTTATATTATATATATAAAGTAGTTTCTAACTTTTTTATTTGTATATTAAATTGTATTAAACTGTTCTTAGAATTAATTGTTCTTAAAAATTCTGTAATCATTTCCTCAAACTCAGCACGTTTAAATTCGTCAATTTTGGATTCATTAAACTTACATAAGTTTCTATCAAATCAGTCCTATGTGGCACAAAATAATTATGGTCCTCCATATCCCGGCGCTTTTTGACGCGCACGAAGTGCTCCATCGGATTGAGATTCTTTCTGGTGCACGCACTTGCTAGGAACTCCTCCACGGTCATAGCATCACGCAGGAACACCGAGACCAGCTGAAACAACAAACAGGAAACACCGGGTCGCTCGTCTTATCCTTATTATACTCTAAGCGTAATGGAAGCATAGAATATCGATCAACTCACCCGATGTCCTGACGATCGTACCTGATTTTCCGGCACGGACACTTTCACACTCTTCTCCTCATCCCTGGACGAGATCTGCAGCGAGCGCCTACTGGAGCCGCTATTCGATCTCGACAGCAGGGGTGGTCGTCTCTTCGTCGCTCCGCGACCCGCCAATAAATTATTCAGCAGGGACGGGCTACGCGCGCATATAAACGCGTGGAAGGACGACACCGTGAACACACCCAGCTTGTTTAACGTTTGCTTTGTGGCGCGAGACACATGCGTTAGTAGACTCTGAGGGAAAAATAAGAACATAGAACACTTATTTAATTTTGGATCAAGCTACTCGCTTATTTTAATAAGTTATCGCTTTCAAAAAGAAAATGAATTCTTGGATTTTTATAGATTTAACACATTCCATATCGCGTGAATCACCGATAATCCACACTGGATTTTCAATTTAAGCCATTTTACACTTTAATTATAAAAAGAAACATAATTATTAAAATATTTTTTGATATTATACATGAATACATAATTATGATATGATACAATATTAATACATTAGGCCTTCTTCTTTATAATAATTTTTGTGTAATATTTTTAACCATTATAAAATAATGTTATATAACAAATATAAATAAAAATATTATGGGTATGGCATTGTAAGAGACTTCTCACAGATAACACAGAATGTCCAAAAATTCATGGTTATCATTCGGAAAAATGTGCCTTCTCGAAAGAAGAGCCACAAAAAAAATGAAATTTTAAGAGATTTCAAGTTTAAGAGATTTCTCAGATAATGTAGAAAGGAAAGCGCTGGTTATCATTTAGAAATATGCTCTCTTCAAAAGAAGAGCTGTAAAAAGAATAAACTGTCTTTTCGTAAAATATTGCCCATTCCAATACAATTTTCAGTTACTGATTATGAATTATTACTGTCATTAAAATCGTTTAACTGCTACGATCCGTAAGAACGTTAATTTATCGGATATTGCCTGACCACCTGGTTTTCCCTCTTTGCCTCTCTTTCTAGACGATCGATATCACTCATAACGAATGGTGCAAATTAGATGAGCGCGACGCAGATGGACCTCCAATAAATCCTGATTGCATGTGCGCTGCGAGCAACGAGAGATGATTTTTTTTTTCAAGCAATTGCAGCAACCCGCACAGAGAGATTGCAGCGCGTAATATTGTTTTCCAGTGAGAAGTCGAGAGGGAACCCAGCTTTTGCATGAAAGCGGCAAAAGTTTACAGCCAGATCACAGTGTTCCGTTCGATTGCGATTGGAACTGAGCGTAATATGTCCGTTCCACATCGTTGCATTCGGTAACGATTGACGAGAACGCACGTATGTGCAATAGGAAAGAACGGGGGGTTTGCTGAAATATCTAAAAATTTAACCCAGCTAGAAATGATTGATTGACTGACATCAATTGATATTGAATCGGCATCGATTCGAAGTCAATCGATCAATCATTTCTTGCTGGGAACTCAATACAAATCTACAAATAATTTTATTTACTATCAAAATAATTATATATGTAGAACATTTAAACTAATTACTAAAATGTCAAAATTGTTTGCTCATCGTCTTTGCCTTTTCTATATAATTATTTTGATGGTTCAACAAAATTATTTTCAGCTCTCTAAATTTTTTAATATTTCAACAAAATTATTTATACCGTATATATGGGCAAGTATTAATTCAACAACAATTATCTGAATTCTTTTTCGCGATGCAGGAACACTTGCATGAAAACGACTATGCAAGCTAATATGCTTAAATTAATCGGGAAAATAAAAAATATATCGTGAATGAAGAATATTTATGAAATATTGATTTTCATATAAATTCATTAATTTATTCACAAAATTGTGAGAGAAATATAACGCCGCATATTCTTATGGAACATAAATATTCAAAATATTTTCTATTATTATAAATATTGATGAATGCAACATTTTCAAATACAATTATACGCAAGAAAATGTTATTGTATTGCAACAAAAATGTTACCGAACAGTCGTAGCATTTTATGTATATTTTAGAAATGTAAAATATGAAAGATGTAAATTACGAGGTTTGTAAATATGAGAGATGTAAAATATGAGACTTTCCTCTATCAAAGTAATTAGTACGAGTTACGATATAACATAATATCTTTTGACCGATCTACAAAAGCGTTAATATTCTATATTGCATTCGGAGCTGACGTTTCAATGAAGTTGGTGCTTACCTTCGGATTGGGTAGTTCACCACTTTGCAAACTGGCCATGTAGCACCGCAGGCGGAACTGCTCGCAGTGAAGCCGCTCCAGATTCTCCTCCCACTGCACTATTTGATTGTTGATCTGCTGTTTGGTGTCGACATCGGAAACCACTGATTGCTGAAGATCCGCCATATGCTTCATCTTGTGGTCCTACAAACAGTCAATACAATCATTGACCTACATCTTTTTCCTTTTTCCTTTTATTAAAAATAATTACATCAAGTTTTAAAATAAAAGCATGATTAAAATATTTCATAAATGATAATAATTAAGAATATTTAATCTGTTTAAAATTTATAAAATTCTTGCAAAACGTTCTTATTAAAGAATTATTATCAACTTATTAAAGTTGATAATAAAAAATTGCAATTTTCTCCCACATTCAATAAAAGTAGTTCTTTTCTCTTCCATAAATTTCTTTTTATCACTTCTCTAAACTTTTGATGCTTCTGTAGAGCCTGACAAAATTACATTAACTTTTGTTACATACTGATTCGATCGCCTTTTCTAGACGGAAAATTTCTTCCTGCAGCAGGTGCAGCGTGCCAGTTTTACCGCGATGACGCGCGAACGCGGCGGCGCACGCCGAGTGAATACTATTCACCCAGTTCTCCAGCTCCACTTGACACGGCGCCTAAACACAAAACGAACATATCATGTTTTTCGCTGAATCAGAATTCGGGTCTTCGATTCTTCCCCCTCGGTAAACTTCACCAATTGATCGATCGTTACTCTCGCGATGTCGCTCACGCTTCCAAGTGATTTAAAGTCGTGGCAAGCTTTTAAGTAGTGGCAGCAAACTATCAAAAGTTCGCCGTGTTGCGTGACCCGGGAACGAGTTCGTGAGACGAGGTTAATTAAATACACCTAGTTAGCAATTCGTGCGGTTAATGCACTCCCAAGGGCTACTAAAGTGCGGCGATCAAACTGAGCTGGCATAATTGTTCTCTCTGACTTTCCAATAATTTGCCGTGTATATAGTACTCTCTACGACAATCTTACTCCAAGTTTAATTGGCGTATTATTTGCGATAATATTCGACAATATTTGACGCTGATTAAGAAGTACATAAAAACAGCAAAATTATGTACGAAATACGCAAATTAGGCTGGTTATATGTAAGTCTAGTTTTCATCTTTGACATTTCGATTTATTTAGATCTCTACTATTAAAAATTTAAAAAGTGCACATAATATTTCATTACAGAAAAATATTTTTCACATTTGCGAGTTATAACATTTCCTTTGCTATTTGTATACTTCTTTTTACGGCAAAGTCGGGTTAAAATTTTGTTACCTGGAATAGATAGGCGTCCCCGAATGCGGTGCTCAGACAAAATATGTAATCCTTCTTAGGATGTTCGGGAATCGGCTGCATGATCGCACCATCGACGATGATCAAGTGTTTAGGTGCTGCCTCCATGGCCCTACTTTCCTGTGAATCGCAAGGATAAAAGAGAAGCGTGGTACCCTTCAAGCAGACCCAATAACCCCTCCAGCCTCTTTTCTTGGCCAGCTCGATTTGATGCTTCTTGCGCAGCAACCATTTCTTCACACTGAGAAATCTAAAAATTCCGAAGAATTGGCCACATCATTTTTCCCTTATATTTAAATTTATTAAAATTATATTAATTACATTAAAAAATAATTTTATATATTATATTTGTTGTTATATTTTTATTATTTCCACTTGTCCTATCAGATTAAATTTATTTTGAAATTACAGGATTTGTAATCAAATAATATTATAAATGATAATGATAAATATTTGTTATGTAAAAATTTTTACTGTTTGTTCGTATATACACTAATATTCATATTTATATTAGCTAATTTGAATCAATTACAACGAACAAATGGAGGTAATTATTGCATAAATATTTGTCATTATTATTTATAATATTCAATTAAAAATTCAATAATCTCAGTCCAATCCGATATTCTAGAAACTGAATAAAAAACATGACTTATTGTTAGATTTATCTTCGTTTGTGGCCTTCATATATCTATGCCAACGTTATGCGAGATATCTATATATAGATCCTCAAGGCTTATTATTTTAAAAAATAAAGACATATATGTGAAAGACATACCCTGCCTTCCGAACCGCACCGGTGCAATTGAATGAAGCTGCAGCCGTGCCGGTCTGCTTCCGATAGGGCGAATTTATAGCACTCTCGCCGTCGTCATCATCGCTGACGGCGGTGGTGAGAGACATCCTATCATCGTCTGACATCTGGAAAATACGTCAGATTTTACTTTAGTAGCGATAAATATACTTATCACTGTGAAAATCGAGACAAATACGGACAACTCCGTGTCAAATTGGACAATAGGTAATCAATTTCTTGTTCTTTTCGAATTTTTTTATACTTGCGCTTTATAAAAAGATAGAACTTTCTATAAAATTTCAATGTCATATTTTTGATATGCCTTACCGAAATCTGATTTTATATTATACATATATTGGTCAATTTAATACTAAAAATTACTTATTTTGAATATTTAAAAAAAACACCAAGTGATAGTATTTTTAATACTCAAAATATATTTTTATTTAATTATTAATCACTATCTTCTAATATTAAACTTTTATTTATAAAAATTGGAATCGTCCGTATATATGCATGGAAAAGAAATATATGCCATGTATAAAAGACAGAACATGTGCGTAGAAAAAATGTATTATGTGCGATCGTGAAATAAGGTTGATATTGATAAAGAATTATGATTAGGTATATGCAAAAATAAGATCTATAGATTACTGACAATGACAGGATGCTTTATATGTACATAATTCATCGAAAGTTCTTCGTCTACCTAAAAGTGCTTTTAGGAATTCCAAATAGGGATTGTGTTATATATATACTACTATTTACATATTTAATTTAATTTAGTGATTCAAAAAATATTATATTCTCTCAAACAAATCATCGTACACTGCAATTTATTAAAATTATTATATGATTAAAATTATTTGATTACAATTTAATTATTTGTTTGTCATCAAAAATTAATAGTATCGGATAGAAATCAAAACGTCTGTTTATTGTTTATTATAATTGTTACACAAATTTTAGCGTTAAACATCTAATTTGATTCGTAGTCCAATTATTATTTCATTTCGGTTATTCGAGTATATTTTTATTATATATAACTGTGTTAAATCTTTTTAAATTAAATACAGATAATAGGTAATCAATTATTAATTAATATTACTGTAATTATGTCAGGCTATTACTATAAACAAAAGGATATCAAATTAAGGACGACATTCGCATTACCAACAATTGGCAGTGGAGATGCAAAGAAATCTTATAGCTTTCGTATTATTCAGCGCATGCTACTCGAAAGTGGCAACTATAGTCTCGCTTCCAAGCAAACCCGTTTAATTGCACAAGAATATCATTTTCAAGAGCTATTGTAGGCGTACATGCCAAAATACTCTACTTTACTCGCGTTACAACAAAAAGACAGCCGTGTCGCAAATGCAAAATGCTAATAATAATTCCACTGCTTTCGCTGTCCATCCCCTCGTTATTTTCGCTCATTTATCGCGTTCAAGATTCTTTATCGATTCCTACCGCGAATGTGACACTTTTAAAGTAACGTACGAATTTTTTCTAGTTTGTACATATAATTATTGTGATGGCGAGATGAAAATGAGATGCGACACTGAGTGCGAGAATGAGTGCGAGTAGTCAGGGGGTTGACGAACGAAAGTCCAACGGAAACGGCGTAGTCGGAGGCGCGGACTTCTGGTGTCCTTTCTACCCTCGCTTCTCTGGACGAAGCGCATGCCAATAATACGAGTGATATCCTGGTGCGATCGTCGCAATATCGGGGAAAATATCTATATATATTAATGAATAATAATAAATTTGGGGACATATATATAATATCGAGAAACATTCCTTCCAGAAGAGATATAAAGAGATTCGCGATTCGTGTCCTCTACCTTTTTCGTAATATTCATCATGCCGCGGAGCCTCTCGCGTATCCCCCTGAGGCTCTCGTCGGCCCAGAAACTTACGACTCTTCTGAGAAAGTCGGCGTTGCACGCGTCCGCCGTCATGTGCGGATGGTAGTGGCAATAACAGCCCTCCTTTAACAGCTTCATGTTGTTCTCCGCGCTGCCGTTGATCCTCAACATAATCTCGCGACGTGCCACGCTCAGGCCGTCGATGTAGCGTTGCGCCCAGGTGTTGAGCGCGCCGTTCACTAGCCGCAGTAATTTGTGGTAATACCCCTCGCCCGAGCCGTACGTCACCTTCTCCTGCACGTTCCGGCAGTTGAACCAGTACAGCTTGCGTGACTCGTTAATGCATATCACGCTGATCGTATGCCTGCGGCACCAACAAAAGTATTTCCAACAACGTCGTCGATGCTGCGTCTTCAGATCCGTGTAATCGTCGCTCGGGTCCAGCAAGTCCAAGGTGCTATTCGTACACTTGATCGACCATCTCGGCTCTACCATCATTCGTCGTTCGCAGTCAGCGGTGAATGAACGAGGAAGAGACGCGCGGAACCCGCGGTGATGCCTAGAAGAGGGATGACCGTCGGACAGGATCCTTAGGTTCCCGATCGTCGCCGATCGTCACGACGACGTCTCGTCTTCGATCCTCCTTCGGCGGTGTCATTATTGTCTCGTGGACGGCAGAAGAAAACATCCACGTGGGGGGTTGGATGAGATATTCTCGTACGATCGATTGTCGCGGTGTGTAAGCTCGACGGTGTCGCCTCGAGAATCGCTTTGTATTCCCACGATCTTAATAAACCTCGAAGTTCAAGTCGATGTCCTCGTTAAAGTCTCTTTCGCAATTGAATATTGTGTATACGCGCCAGCTGTGCTCGCCGAAATTATCGCTCGCAGAATCCAATACTCAATGACGCGTCGATCATCAATGTGCACGACGAATAAAATCTGAATAACCCGGTATACAGTCCGGAAATTGGCACGACAGCGAAACAGCCGTCGTAAATTGGGTTCATCAGGTCAACTCGGTCAATTCGCCGAGTTTATAATGAATTTTTATATTCGAAATTTCTTCTCGAATTTTTCAATAAAGTCCTCTATTTTAAGGCAAACGTCTTTTGCACTGTTAAAATCAATCACGGCTTAGAGAGACTCGCTAACGTTAACTTTATGACTACACGCGGTCTAATCTAACTATCTCGAGAATTCAAAGTGTGGGCGATGACGCACGAAGGATCCGCCGCGGGTGTTCGCAGGTACTCATACGCAGAGGAATTCCTTTGCACTAGAATCCACGCAAATTCCTCGAAAGTCCTCTCTTAAGTAAGAAGCGCACAGCGGGAGGTTGATCGTCGTCATCGACAGTCGGACTATCGTGGCCGACATCACTCCAACTCTCGCCTTCACGCAGCGGGGGGTTGATAACATATATAGAATATTTTCTATTTCTCTCTTTTTCTCTCTTCTTTATATAATAGAAACGAACTATCCATAGAAAAATACACTCTCACTCTGTACTTAGATATACATATAGATATACTCTCTGAATGTTGATCCTCGCTCCTCTCCAGCTGATTTCCCTCCTTTCCCACGCATCGCTATAGGTATCCTCTCAAAGCATCGATTTTCTCCTCTCTCGCGGAAAAATGCGCTGTAAACCATCGTACACTCCCTCAGCCGCTCCTTATCTAATCTACAACTTCATCTTAAATATATTATTTCAATCTTTAACTGACCACTTCTCGAATACACCCTCGAATAAACTTATCTGATTTCTGTCCCCTTTTCGGATTTTATATCTTCTTTCACGCGATCTATCAGTAAAGTCTCTCCCCTCGCGTATCTTCTATATCGGTAAGCTGAAGTCAGTCGTTCACCGATCGACCTATATTTGATTCTCCGGAAGTTATTCCACGGCGGAAATCAGCTTTGACGTGATTATTGACGCGAGGGGAGAAGAAGCTCCAGGTACTCAGTGACAATGTTACCATCGTCGAGACGGCCGGCACGTCACGACCGCTTCTCGTCGAGAATCACCTCGCACGTGCGACCGCAAATTCCGTAAGCGCGAATTCCTGAAGAAGCGATCAGCGCGTTGCAGCGCGCGGTTTAATTTCCGATCCGCATCATGACGCGAAGATTCGTCGTCGAGCCCGCAATGACTGTGGGAATCCTTTCGCAATTTTTAGAAATTAGTTTCAATTCTTCGAAAAAGACTTCCCCGAAGAACTTCTCTAGTGTTATTCTTCCCGTCGAATTCCAAAACCGGAAGTCCCGACGAGTAATAGCTGCACGACTTCCAGCTCGTGTTAATTCGAAGAATCCCTCAAGGACTTTGTCATCACTTCCAGATGACGCGCCATCGTGGAACGTTTACAATCTCGCACTTGATGATCGCACAGAAGGATGGAGCCTCCACGAAGGCTCTCCCTGCAGAGTGATGCGATGAGGATTCGTTGCCGAAGACGGATTGGATGCGATTTACGGGACCGGGACTGTCGTTTACATGGGAACGCGCGTCCTCAGCGCGTTCTCCAGCGGGCGGTCGACAGTCGTTGGCGCCGCTGCCGACGTGTCCGGGGACGTGTACCGCGCGCGGCTCGGTGACTTCCGGCGCCCGCGCATCGGCGCATCAGCGGGCGCCGCACTCTCCAAGCGCGCCCCGGCAGCGGGTGCGAGCCGCGGTGGAGCCTCGAGAGAGGGAGAAGAAGCTGCGTCGTGCCCGCGTCGCGTTCTCCACGAGGTCGCTCGCTCGTCCTCGCTACTAATGCGTAGTCGTTAATACGCGCCCGTCGATCGATGGGCCTCTTTGCATACGAGTTCGCGACCGTGGGTGCTCGTCATCGCCGCGGAGTTTTGTCACCGCTGCATATACGGCGGAAACGGATAGGTCTCGCGACCGATCTTGGCACCGATCGCGACCAGTTTTATTAAGCGAACAAGCTGCACTTCTTGGGATGTAGGGATCAACTTTTTATTTTTTATTTTTTTTTATCTCTCTCTCTCTCTCTCTCCCTCTCGCTTTCTTCCCCTTTCTCCTTTCCTGTCCCTTTTTCGCTTACGCGCGGATGTCACCAAGTCCGCAGCCGCGAACGCGCTTAGCTCCGGACTGCCGCTGGAGAACAGGGAAGAGGAGCTGCTACCGCGAGGGGAATCAATACCTCGGTCCTTGTGGTGGCCGAAGGGGGATTGCAGGAACGAGCGGAGGCGAGGAGGAGCGGAGAAAGCGGCGATAGTAGGGGTGGGATGCCGTGGAAGGGAAGGGTGGTTGGCACTGGGATATCGGTGCATGGTAGTGGCCGCGATGTGAGGTGGGAGAGCTACACTTCGTAGGCGAAACGAGGTGCGAGCGAAAGGGGTGGTATGCACCACCAAGAGATGCACAGGGGAGAAACAGACGAGGGGAACGCGACGCGTTGCACTGATCGACGCTGACAGCCAAGATGCTATGTGATGATTATTACCACTGCCCCAATGACGAATATCCGATTCAAGGGAAAATCGAGCTCGAACGAATTTCAATAAACGGCGAGGTCAATTCCTACTTCTTCCTCGAATGCTGTGTCTTCCAGAGGCAGCCGGGTTACTTTCCTGGAGTCGCGTCCTCGGACGAATTTATTTCCGGACGTCAAGGATGGCGGCGAGAAACTTTTAAGCGGTGTTATACGAGAAGCTTTTTAGATCCACGCTATTATTTTGCCTTTACCTATCACTTTGCAATTTTCCCTACGAAAGGATCGTTATCATAAAATTTCCGAGTTTTGTAAAATTAATTCCGACGTCTGTTTCTATTAAAAAAAAATTTAATGCACTTTCTTAGTTTCCCGTAATAAAAATGAGACAATTATTTTCTGTAAGATTCTCACCTTTAAAGTAAAGTAAAATGCAACTAGAAAAGAAAATAGATCCTAATGTTCAGTTTCTACGTTTTGACATATATCAAACGTTCTCCAAGGACGAATGCACGATTCATTCGCCGGTCTTCGGCTTTTATCTATATACTTGGATCTTTTATTCGCGTTTACCGTCATGTATTTCGTTTTCGCCGCCGTAAAGGAAACCAAGGAGAAAGGTAAGTATAAAAAAAAAATAATCCTACGCGGATTATGTATAACGGGTTGGCGCGCATGCGAGCGACGTGAAGTTTTATTGAATTTTACAACATAGTTCCTCGCAGCGGAAGGCGATAAGAAACGTCGGTGCCGCCAGTGCAGCGTATCGTCTCTCATATCGGGACAATACGGTTCGTTTGATTTATACGTGCGGATGGTTGAATTAGATATTTGCTAATGTCGGATGGCATCGCGCGCGTCAATCTATGATCTTTCCGATTCGCGACTGCGTCACCGACGTGACCGTGACGGGAACGGAAAAACGGCGCTGAAGAACCAAAGTCATGAAAGATTTGCGCGCGTTTTGCGCATGCACCTGTTGGCGCAAGCTGCTGCTCGACTTGTGCAACGGTGCAGAGGTGCTCGATTCTTATTTACTCCCGCTAATCTCGGCGCGACCTATTAACCCTTAGACGCGTGTCTTTGCGCACGAGGTGCCGCAAAAGCCCCCGACCTTTATGAGAGATTGTTATATTTTGAGAGAGCTACTAATACAATTCCCAAAATAGGATTTTTCAGAATCTTTTCTTCTCACATGTGGAACATAACGTAAAATCTCTTGGAATGGAGTTTCTTAAATTATATTAGATAGTAAAGAATCTCATCTTATAATGGAATTAAGCTTTACAATTTTAATCATTCTGTAAGTTTAATTAGATTTCTATAATTATATATATATAGTATATCAAATTTAGAGCTTTCGTTTTAAGTATTCGTGTAATTGATTCTTATATTTAAAACGACTTAAATACAGTACACTGGAAAAAATTCTAATTGCATTACCTAATTGAAATTCTGGTTGAAACTGGAAAAATTAAAATTTTCTGTCAAAATAATTGAATAATCGAATAATTGAAGAATAATTGAATCTGTCGTAATTGCGTAATTGAGATAACTAGAGAATATTCTAGCTCGCCCATCTTCAATCGGAAATTTTTCTCAGTATTAAAATTGCATTAAAATGTCATAAACCAATTACAGAGCTGTATCAAAGTCTTAAGACATTATTTAAGGCAGTCTTATAATAAGAACGGACTATAAATACTGGCCTTAGATTCTTTTACGTATGACCGCGCCATATAAAAATGTGATACGACTGAAATGACACAATAGAAACTATTATATTGTTTGACAATTGGTTGAGTAAAAGTCAACGTTTGCGTAAGCATATCTAACAGAATCTTCATTACTCCGCGGTTGATTTTCATAATGGGTATTTCAGCGCACGTATTACGTATATGTATATAGATGTATGCGCTCGCAACGGGGTGTGTTTATATACGTATATATTGTGTACGCGATAAAACGCATTCAGATTCCTGTACACGTACGAACTCCACCCATTTCATGACCTCTACTTATCCGTGTATACATATATCTCTCTATACCTATACACCTACACGTTTCTATTTGCGGTGCAAAACAACCGAGACGAGACAGGGTGCTTACTCTGTAAGGGGTTGCATTAGCGATGGATTCGAGCGGCTCGCGAGAACGAGACACAGGGTTAGTAGGTTATCGATGTTCCTCGGTCACACATAAACGCCCTTCGTACACAACAGCGGATCATGCGCCCGCACAATGCACTCGTTGAGAGTTCAAGTAATTCCATTAGTACGGCGATCCCTCCCCCCCCCCTCCCGAGACCCATTGCGCGATTGTGGATGAAATAGAAGGAAATGATACGCGTAATCGTTATTCTGCCGAATTGTCCACGAATGGGACATCGCGAATTTATCGACACGTACGTGCATTTCCGTTTCCTCGATTCGCGCTGACCTCTTTTGTAACACTGATAGGCGTGGCCAGTACGAGAGCGCAATTTGTGCATCCGGAGGTAGTCCGAGAGTTGCGCAATTTCTCGTAACTATTAGAAACGGAAAGTAATTCTGGGGCATTGTGCGAACGTTTGCAAAATATATGTGCGTGTATTAATATGTCACGTTGACGGAAAAAGTCAATTGTAAAAATGTAAAAATATGAAAAGTTCGAGATTTTAATAATAAAAAGATTAAATATTTAATTTTCACATTCACTCAAGAAAGACGCAATTTAATAGAAAATTATAACGCTGGAAAAATTTCTGGTTGAAAAATAGACGGACCAGTAAGATTCTGATATCAATCAGAATTCCAGTCATCATGATTGGACATCTGATTATCTTAACCAGAATATAATAGATATAATCAGAAAATTCTATAATTCGTTCATTTTTTTTAATTAGAAATTGTTCTCAGTGTAAAATTTATTACAAAGTTATAATTAATTAAAGGATGATAAAATTAATGATTGAATTAATAAGAATATACAATAGTATAATTTATGGAATTATATCGAGAAAATTATGTCACAATTTATTTATAAATTTTATTCATAAAGAGATTTGCAGAAATCGTATTTCTTTCGTGTGAACATGGAACTAATTATCGAAATCGAATAAACAAAATGCATTTGTTTTAATGCAAAAATGGGCTCTTATCTACTACGATTTAAAGTAGTTTTACAATGGCCTTCGGGAACGGTTGCCACCATCGCTCATCGATTTGAGCTTTCGCAAGTACAGCTGGGTACTTTGTTCCATTTTAAATTACAAATGGATGGTAAGAACGTGAGAGAAAAAGAATCTTCTCAAAGGGGCTTTAAGAATAATGCGTCCGCACCACGTCGTAAATACGCTTTTGTGGAAAGTTTTGTATTGTGTGTGTGTGTGTGTGCATGCAACAAAGGGCGAGAGATGAAAAAAGCCAAGCAGCAATAAAACCCATGCGACTTTTGCATTATATATAAATAAAGAGAATAATGGAAGCAGTGACATTATTATCAATTATATATTTAATTTATGATTTAATTACTATTTGTGAAATGAAACATAAAATTTGAATGAAACAAAACGATGTAATTATTTCGAAAAACATTTTTGTTAATATTTTAATACAAATACAAGAAAAATTAATTTATTATAATTTTAATTTACATAAACGTTATAAAATATATTTAATTTTATATAAACACACATACAATTAAAATAGACATATATATGTCTATTTTAATTTAATACGTTGCTTTGATCAAAAAATTGTATATTTTTACATATAATACAATTTATAAAACGTTTACTCGTGTACATATATGTATACATACGTGATATATACATGTATGTATATCATATATATCTTTATATTGTCTCACAAAACCTCTAGTTCCAGTTAAATCAATAATCGCGTTCCGCGGTCGATGTGCATTACTGTCTCGCATTTAATTAATATTAGAGTATGCGCATAATTAGATTTAATATTTAATACAGAACGCCCACGATTCTCAAGTGCAGAATTAAATATTAATCTCCACAGTGACTATTATTGATTATCGAAGTGAATTAAGAGAATACGATCTTTTGTAATAATTCACGACATCTAGCTTTGTAGTTACCGACGTAGAATTACTTGAAACTGATGGGGATACATTCTAAACATGCAGAATATCAACGCAAGACATCCAAGTAGGTTCTCGCACGTATCATAGCCGCGCATACCATGAATACGAACTGCGCTACAAAGGCATCGTAGAGTGGCACTTGGATGTATCAGGTTGATAAGGTCAACAAGTGCTTGGATAACTCACTTCGGAAGACGTCAAGTAGCAGAGCCTCGAGTCGGTACTCTCCAATGAAGCTTGTTGAACGATTCCGTATCTGCCATCCCGGTCGGACATGTAGTCAGATCTGACGCTGTCCTGTCTGTCGAAAGTACCTCTGTAATATGCAACACATCCAACTGAATAGCACGACACAAATGCCACAAAAGCGTACGAGATAAACGTCATTCAATTACAGACACACTCTCTTTCTCTTTCGCGACAGCTTTCAATTGAAAAATAATTTTTTTAAAAGTACATTTCTTGATTCTTTAAAACTAATTCGCAAATTTTGTTTACATTGCTAGTCTCTCGTGTATGTGCATATATTTTTACTTTCAGTTCATGCTTTGTTAAATATTAAAAAGTAGAGAGCTGTAATATCTGACGTTGCAAACAGGCAACCGTTTTTTAATTATTCCATACAGAGCGTTTTTCTAACTAGAGAATATAACTATATGAGATAAAAATGCGATTAAGTTGTATCGAACTAGGTTGTATTTTACTGCGCGATTAGTGAAAAAATGTTAATATCTGCACTGTAATGCAAAAATTACATTTTTCTAATGCTGCTATTGCTAATAGGAAGAATACTAATATTAAGATTAATAAAACCGTTCTTATGACAATACAAAGACCAATCGAGATATGCGATAAAAGCAGGAGGGAAGCGCAGAGCACAATGAAAGTATGGAAGACAATGCGAACAATATATGGCAACAAAAGGTAGATGGTAGCGAATGAACATCAACTATAAGAACACTAAAGTACAAGTACGCATTGTGCCGAAAGAGACTTTTAACTACAGATATTTATATATTACTGCGTACTCACACATTTTTAAAAAAGCCATTGATAGCTTAATTAATACTAGATGATTCTAAATTTTTTAAATGCAATAAAAATCTGAATTATATGATAAATGTGATATGGAAAATGTTATAGTTTAAAATTATGAAAATGTTTGATCTTAGATAACTATTAATGATTTCTTCTGCGGCGAAGCTAGTCTACGTGTCTTCCATCTTCGCCGACGATTAAACTTAATCGAAAAGTTTTCAAAAAATGACAAATAATCATAAAATTTACATAGATATATTTTACACCTGCGTTCATCGTACAATCACCAATCATGTTCGCACCATAAAATTCGCAATTTCTTCCGGACATTTTTCCGTATATTTTACTTGTAATAATAATCTCTTGCGCATTATCCTTCTTTTAAATTACTTATAGCTAGAGGGAGAGTTGCTGCTCGGACGTATAACTAAAAGAAAAATTCGATCAAAGAATCTATCTTTAGAACTCGTGTTGAGATTTTTCGAGGATCCCGCACGAAGATCGTCGACTCAATAACTTGGGCCACGCGTGAGGGATTTGTCTCCCTCACCTTTGCTCGAGCGAGTCAGTCCGGTTGGACTTATAACCGCTGTCGTTGAGACTGCCCTCGTGTCTCAGGGACGGCAGAGAATCCCAGGGTGATTCTCTTTTGTGTCCCGAATAGCCTGGATTTATCGAACTCGAAGCGCCGGAGCCGAAGGTCGAGCTACCCGACTGCCATCCGTCAGAATGCCGGAACCATTGTGCGCGCGCGGACTCCCCGATGCAGCTGGCGCATCTGCAAGTATCGTGCATCATGTAGATCATGTGGTTATATACGATACATCACGTAACTTTGGCATTTCGCGAAAAAAAAACCCTTGTATTTGTACTTAGAAGCTCCGCTTCGACACAATGTAAAATAGACACAAGTTCTTACAGTTTGAGTAACATCTGTACAATACAATATCATTTGATAGATTTATATGAAATTGTAAGGAAATATTCGACTTGTACAATCAAGATTAATGGAGTAAAAAGTTAACAAAGTACGAGATATATTTTTTACAGTATTGCATCTCTTGTTTATAACAACATTTAACATATATCCGCAGAACACAAATTAACAGTGCCATTACATTAATGTTATAATTTCTTACTCAATAATATATAACTGTCATACATGTGTTATGTACATTTATATTGTTGAATGAGAAATTACAATATCAATGTAATATGTGTGTTACCATTGTTTGTGTTCTACGGGTAAAAGAGTCCGGACTTGAATGACAATTTATTTATGGCTCCGATCCCTTCGTGCTTCTGCTAATATCAATTGAAATCGGTTGTTAGATCAATTAAGAAACAAACTAATCTCATTTCATTTATACAACGAACCACTAAACACAAAGTAACAGTAATAACGAGCGCGCGCGTACATAAAATTTCCTATTCAATAATAGCTACATTCAGAAGAAAAACAGCTCTACAATTGTTATATATATATATTTTTTTAATATGTGATCTTGTCCTTAATTTCTTTTGCCCTTGAATGGCTTAGACCCGATTGCACTAACGTTGAACTTCGACTTTAAACGAGGCTTAGCACTCCCCTCCCCATCTCTCCTCCCCCTCTTTCAGCTTTATGACAAACAGAGTTTTCAGAGACAGTGTAAGCGAGCTAATATATGTATTTATATTAACATTATATTAGATTTAAATATACATCAACTAATCAAGGGCAACAAAAATTAAAACTAAAGAATTTTACAATAATAATAATTGCAAAACCGTTTTCTCCATTAAACGCAGCCATTGTAACTGTTGCGTACAACATGTGTTATATTATATTCATATTGTTGAGTGGGAAATTACAATATTAATGTAATCTCTCTTACTGTTATTTTACGTTTAGCGGGGAGTTTGTTAATCTTTTAGAAAACATCAAAATTATTAAGAGAATTTATTTCGGCAAAAAAAAAAAAGTAGACACTCTTCTTGCCGAAAAATCATTGCGTAAACGATATCCAAGTACAAGGGATTAAATGTGTTGTCCGTGTTCTATGCACGGACGACGCGCAGTACCGTGCAGGTACGGGTGAGAAATCCGAACAGAGCACGCCGGTTTTCGCGTCGTCGTCCTCCTCGCCGAGCAGCTGGAACTTGACATGTTTTTTATTCCGCGACTGATCCCCGGATCCGTCATCCAGGATCCGATAGAACACCTTTTCCGGCAGCTTCGGCATCTTCGGCATCTTCTTTGACTCCCGCCGCCTCTCGAGCGATCTGTATTTGCGCTGCAAATTGTAGCTCATTGTTGCGATTTACCTCCTCCTGACGTCAAGCAACGTTCACGTCAAATCGGATATATATTTACACCGTGGATCAAGCTACGGTGACGTCGATCAGCCCTGTAATTAATTCGACGTTTGCACTAGATAACGAACGGATGATTATCGCCGGTGTGTCGAAACGATGATTGTTTGTTGCGTTCGTGGCACAACGGTGAAATAATTATTTCCTCTCGTTCCGTTTTTCGAGCCGGCCGACAATCACGCGCGGCACGACGAAATAATTATCGCATTGGTTTTCAAAGAGTCATTGTTTGCGTATGGCCAAACGCACCAGTGTAATTATTATTTTCGTTCTCGCGCGACCGACAGTCGCACTATATTCTCGACGAGGTAATTATTCTCCTTGATTCTATTTAAAAATTATATCCATCTATAACTTTTTCACAACGACAAAAATTAATGTCGAAAAATTATCTTTATCTATAATTAATAAGGAATATAACGACAAAAATCTTATCCCGCTTGATTTAAGTTTGAAACTTCAATTTAAAACCTCGGTGATTTTTAGCGAGATAAATCTTCCTTCCAAAAATGTCAAAATAATTTGATTTCCATGTGGTGCTTCTGCTTTTTTCATCAATGATTCATGTAGATTTACTTCCCTTTGACATTTCGCACTTTTATTTATCACCACTCAATTGCAATTAGTTCATTAGTGATGTTTCTTCGTGCACCTCATATTTATCAAAGATTTACGTGAACAATTGCACTCTGCGCATCACAACGCAACCGCTCCGACCACCGCATTATTCTCGCACCAGGATAGGACGACACGACGCGAGACGCACGCAATTTCTTGTTATAAAACCCTGTTCCTCGACGCGTCTGTCGTACGCAACTCGATGCACCGGAAGTCACCCCGCCAGGACAATCGCGTGCGGGTGAATCTCCAACCGCGTGCGCGTTTCTTTCTTTCGTCGGGGCCTCGTTACCACGGAACACCCTTCTTCTTCGCTCTCACCGTCCAGCTGAAGCCCACTCGCGGGATTTCTATATTTATCACGGTACGGCTCGCCACTGTCAGCCGCCGTCGCTGACCCGTGATGCACAACGCGCCGGCGACCGGCGGGGATGATGATGCATGCATGCGCCGATATTGTCCGAGAGCGCTCTATCGAGAGGCGTACCTTCGATAGACCTCGATAGACACCACGCGACGCCCGTCGACGCGCGTCGCCTATCGATATCCTCCTCACGGCACACGTGACATTCTTTTTTTTTTTTCCCTGCGCCGCCCGCGGGATATCGATAGGCGATATCACATCCGGTGATATTATCCAGGTCACCCTTAATGGACGAACACGTCTCATTGACCAGTGGCCGCAGGGCGCAGCTCTTTAAATGTCAAAGTCTCGCAACGGCGACTTTCGCGCCTTTTTCGATACGCACCCTTTGGCAATCGAAGGGGCGATGGCTATTATCGAGCCCTATCGCGCGCGTCCGCTTTAATTAACGTAATCTCATACTACTTGTATGAGAAATATTTCAATGAGGAAGAAATGAAAATGTGTGTCAATGAATCAATTAATCCAGGAACAAAAAATTCCAGAAAATATCCGACAGATATTTAATTTCTATCTCATGAGAATAATTGAAAAGTAATTAAAAGTAAAGGATCGTTTGGATTTCTACATAAAAGTGATATGAAAGTGATTATAAAATCATACCTAATGTATTGCTTTTAATAGGAAGGGACCCATACTTACTGAGAAAATATTTTTACTGAATAACCAACGAGAAAAATAAGATTTCGCATATATTTCATGTTATTTAACGTAAATGATATACGTTAATAACATACGTTTCTTCATTGATAACTTATACGACAAGGATTATACATAAAATTTTTACACGTAAAATATTTTAAACTTGAGAAATCTTATTCTCTTATTTAAATAGAAATTATGTTTGCATAAAAAGACGTGTAATTTATTCTTTGTACCATCCAGGGATGTGTTCCAAAATTTATTTCTGTCAACTCCGAGTATTTTTTATCTTTGTTCAACATTCGGTGAATAGGAATAAAATGATACTCGGATTAATAGAATTGAATTTTGAAACGCAAGTTGGATTCAATTTTTGGCCAGACAAATGAAAAGCGCGGTGAATTAAGCGAATGCATGAAATCCTTTACAGTATAAATGCTGATTTTAACATGGATTGGAGCGATGATTTACCTAGAATTGTAGTCGCTGAGATAACCGCGATCCCGATCGGAGTCTCGTTCTCTCTTCTCTCTCACCATCTCGTTGCGATCGCTGTAATAGCCGTCTCGATCCTTGCTGTTCTGTCTTTCGTTGCAGTAGCGGTACGACAGTGGCAAGGTCGACGACTTGTTGGAATTGGAACCTGTAATCATGATAATTGGTTACGAACAAAAAATATGAAACTTATGTATTTTTTTAATTCTAAGCATACGTCCAACTTACGTCTTCGTGAAGCGTGAGGCGTGCGCTGAACATTCAATGGTATGTTTTCCGCAAATTCTGAAAAACATAAAAACTCTCGTTTTAATTATTCGCGTGAAAATATTTTACAATTAATTATTTCGATAGTTTCACCTTGAGAAAAGCTGGAAAGGTTAAAGTTAAAGTTTAATTAATTCGTTCACTTGAAAAGAACACGGGTCGGTAGGATATACAAAAAGACAATATTTCTTAATCACTAGAACAGCACATAATTATCTTCTAGAAATTTAATTTCTTAAATGCCATGTTATAGAGTCATTAAAAAGAAATCTTATGAAATCTTCTGAAAACGTTTATTCTTTAATTTCTTACAATGCAAGTAATTTCATGACGTACTTCTTAAACAGAATTTCACATAAAAATGAACACTTTAAGTCATTGATAATTAAAAAATAATTTGTAAAAAAAATAGCGAAAAATAAATTTTTATAATTAAAAAAATTGCATTCTTTCATTATAAATATTAATTAAACTGTTCTATAAGCCAAAATTCGTGACTAATAAAAAAAAATTACTGAACATTTCACTCTCTTTGTCAACAATGAAATCAAGTCTCACCCAAGTTCTCCATACTCTGCGTGAGCAGAGCCTCAAACGTGCGCAGGCTATAGCTCTCTGCGTCCATGCCCTTGGCGAGAGTGTTCCTGAGATGCATTTCGTATTCGAGGAGCAACCGGCTGGTCGGACTGCCCGGTGTCGACACTGACTGCATGTTCTGCTGATATGTCTGGCCACCGTTGCAGCGGCGGGAGTTGCAGTGGTTTGACTGCTCCATGTCGGAGTTGCCGTTCGACGAACTCGGTGTAGTGGCATAGCACTGGTTGTCGAAGATGACATTGTCCGAGGGCGGCGACATGTCACCTGTGCACCGATTACGTTCCGAATCTAAGTACGTCCTGCCTCTGCCGCCTGCGGGCAGAGAGGTGCAACCGAGAGTGCAGGATGTACGACGGACGTGATGAGATGTGCCGGACGTGCGGCGCTGATCAATGGGCGAGACGTATCAAGTTAATCGGGAACGGCGAACGCGTAACCCGGGAAGCGGTCGGTTCAAGAATGAGCCATGAAGCCGACATGAAGCTGACAGGACAACCACGTTGTCTCCTAGTGCGCATGTTACGTAAGGTCAGGAGTAACAAAATGTTAGGAGGTGCCTCAAGAAGTGGTGGGTGACCCCGTGACTTTCATTAGAGTGCAGCTGGCTGGCTGCTGCATTGTGCGTTTTGTGCGCATGTTAAGTTATACCAAGGGTGTAACTAAAGGTTATAGGGATTGATGGACGTCATAGAATCAGTCGCCGATTAGTTGTAGGGACTTCCTACAGTGTTACGCATTCGCCAGTATTATGGGGTCAAGCAAGGGAAGAACCACGTGCAAGACCGATCACGTAATTGACGATGTGAACTTTGTTACCTTTTTACTTTTTGCTACTTTAAATCACGCCCGATTAAATCTTGTCGTTTTACGATAGATAAAAATTATATTATAATCTCTCAAAAAGTTGAGCGGAACGTTTCGTATTTTTAGAAAAAAATTACGTAATCAATCCTTTTCTTCAATTACTTTTAAACATTTTCCTTGTTGAGAACTTTATCTAACATTCATGATAATTTATTGTATAACTGTTCTTTAAATTTAAAAAAAATGTTAATATTAATTCGACCAAATAATTTCATAAAATTATCTATTAATTATCTCAACAATGATAGTGTTACTCCACTTAAAAAATTTAACATATTTTAAATGACAAATTACAGCGTATAAAGATATAACAAGATATTTAAACATTAATCACATTTCATGAAATTATCAAAATATTTAAATATTAATTAACACATACACACATTCGTTGATTCATTAAATCCAAATAATTAAATATTATTACATCGTAGACATTTATCAATTACAAATGTGCAGTGAAAATTTAAAACGTCAGGGCGACATTGAAACGATTAAAAGTTACCTAAAAAGATCACAAGTAGAAATTAGCAGAAAATCATATTGGCAAGAAAAAATCGTACCGGAGTATTGCCGACTCATGTCGTGGGAACTCCTGGAACTCTGGAACTTATTGTTGTAAGGCGCGCGATACGGATGCGCATAATTCTCGTTGTCGATCTCCTGCATCATGTACTTCTGATTGTTATTGCTCGGATGGTAGTGATAGCTGTGGTGGCTGTGACGTTTTCTCGTCATCTCCGGCGACGTCACCGGGCTGTCGATACTCGGCATTGGTTTTAGCATACGTTTCAGGGTATTCGAATCCAGACTGAGGCCGCCGTTCTGCGCATTTTCAATCCGCATATCATCGGTGCTCTTGCTCTTCGATCTGTGACCGTGATTGTTGTTGACAATGTTGAATAGATTGCCGTTCTGCATCTCCAGTTCAGTGTAGTCGGCCGACTTGGTGTGGTGGAGCTCCTTGCGCAACGATTTAATCTGCAAAGTGCCGCCGGCCTGGGTGCCTTCTGACTTCAGCATCTCGATGCCGTTCTGCTGCGTGGACATGTCCTGGTTTTGCTTATGTTTTTTCGGTGATATCGTGGAACCTTTTTTCTCATCGGGGCTCTCGATCTATGAAATGAACAAATTGATAAGCTTAAAATAGTTTTTTGATTCTAATAATGAATATGATCTATTGTTATAATTTATTATTATAATTAAATATTTCTTAAAATTTTTTCAATAAATATTTAATAATAATAATTAATAACAATTTTATTTAATCCTTCAGTGCCACTTTTATTACGGTATATCTGAAATTCCTCTTTTGCTTTGCAATGCTATAACTTTTTTATTAATAAAAATATATATACAAAAATTATAACAGTTATATTGTTATTAATTAATGCTTGTTAAAGTGCCACCGAAGGATTGATCTTTTACAGAAATATTTTCTTTTAAATTAACATTTTACTCGAAATATCGACAAGGAAATAATATTTCATTATTAAAAAGATAATAAAAAATAAATACTTACAATTCTTCTAAAAAATTACACACACGCACACATTTTCATATCTTAATTTTTTAAACATTAAATTGAAATATTAAATTATTTAGGAAAAGTGTAGAATTGAGATTATTTAAAAAAAAAAACTAAAAAATAATATTGATTTGTTTACGAGTTTTAAATTTGTTACTTTTGAACATAATACAATGAGAAGGATGCATATATGCTGAGATCGACGCTTGCCTGAGATCCCACTGTGACCGTTCCGATTCCAATGTTGGCAGTCTTCGGAGTCGTCTGAGACATCTCGTTCTGCTTCTCCTTCTGCTTGGATAAATCAACCATCAACTTTGGTGGTTTCCCGGGTGTTGCACTATTATTAACGTTGTCATAGAGAGACGCGCTGGATGTGGCCGCTGTTATCTTGTCTCGTCCCGGTGTTATATCCATTTCCATGGATCGCCCTATAGTCCGTGGAAGTGTAGACGGTCCTAAAATAGAACGGCCAAATTATAATATAATTAATAAAATTATACCTATTAATTTATGTTACTATATTTATTTGCCACAACAAAAATTTTCTGAAATATTATAATGTTGTTGTATCTATCAAAATCATATACATTGTAAAAAGTAAACTTATATGTACAAATACCAATATGTAAAAATTACGTAATGTATAGGAAAATATATAAAATTGTACGTTTTTCAAAAATTAGTACTTTTACCTCTAATTATATTATTTATAACATAAATATATCTTTATATGAAATAGAAAATTATAATAATAATAACATATTTTATATTTCTAAAATGTATAAATTTTTATAATATTGTATAACATAATGATACTAGCATGTATATTATATTTGCATTTTATATTTGTATGTATCGATAATATAATTTAAGAAAAATTGTACGTAATTTGTTTACAAATTATGTAAATATTCTTATAAACTTCAATTGTAATTTTATTTCGTAAAATTGTTTAATTATTATATATAAAAAAGAATAATTTGATTTGTCATAAATTGTAACTCTTAACTTACTGTGTAAATATATATCTTTAATCGTGGATCCTAAAATTATCCAATATAATTGTAATTTTATACAAATTTTTTTACAACGTTTACATTATAATAATAAAAAAAAAACACGTTTTTAATTACTTCATTTTAAATCACAAAGCAATGAATATATAAAAGAAATATAAATATATGTATATAATATAAAAGAAATATAAATATATGTATATAATATAAAAGAAATATAAATATATGTATATAATATAAAAGAAATATAAATATATGTATATAATATAAAAGAATATTTCATAATCACATACCGCTTCGGTATCTGGTATCTTGAGAGCGCAGTCGGGCATACTGTTCCGCCGTCATGCAAGTACACTGAGGTTCCCTAGATCGGCTCGGTGAGGCTGGTGTCGACAGCGGCTTTCGGCGTGTTTTGATCTTCTGCTTGTTCGGTGGCTCGAGCTTCAACGAGTAAGAAGAGGACGCTTTCCTTGAAATCTTGAACGATGGTGACTGTATGGAAAATTAACTAGTGACTGCAAATGACCTAAGAAGTCGAATGGGACTTGTATCGGACTTGTTGTGTGTCGTCCCTAAAGTATCTCCGCTCAACTTCCTTGCGCGCGACCCGGGAAGGAGAAAGAAAATAAACGGAGACGCGTTGAGAGTGATAGCGAACAGGATTATGGCAATGATGTATAATGTAACAAAATGCGTGTCTCAAGTGTAACATCACTAAACTTACGCAGCATTCTCTGAATTGCTTTGCGTCTATGGGAGACGTAAAGTTCAGCCCCCACGTGTCGCTTGTCACTGCATCCTTCCAGTAGACAAAGCATTCCGACGCTTGGCCGATGCGCGTACCTTAAATACAATTACATTATATTAATTATTGAAGGATTTATTCGTATTAAACTTCATAAATTTTGCCACCTTTATTGTCGCAATATTATTCTGAAAGTAAAATCAGTTTGTGAAGATAGATACATCTTTGTACGTATATTTTTTACGTTGTTGTTCTTCCTTCTATAAAGAATCGAGATTTATTTAGAGTATCTTAAAATACATGTTGTAATTATGGCTCACCTGGCTGGACCAACCGCACGTCTAGAATCTTATCGACCTGGCTATTGTACGCGGTGATATGGAAGACACATTCCGGCGAGTCCTGAATGCAAGTAATGTTTACCGGAACCAAATCCTCGGACACCTGCTGCCATTTAGTATTACTTGCAGCCGCGGCGCTCGCGTTTACATGGAACACTTCGGCCCAAAGCCTAAAAACTCTCGTCATTACATCGTGTATTGCGTCAACATATTTTTTGAAAACATCAATACACTTAAGGGAAGTTCTATGGAAAGAAATAGTAGAGCAGGCGTGACATAAAAATGAGAAAAGAAAAACGAGAGAATTCCATATAATCCAGAGTATTCGATTTTCACTATACATATATCTTCGTCGATAGTCGATACTACGTTGAAATTGCATAAAAATATTTCCGTATGACGTCGGTCGCTTTATTTTGAAACGGATAAAATAGAAATCATCACATGCGTCGGTGGAAAATCGCATATATATTACGTGCACGCTACATCTGCGTTTACCGCGTAAACGTCGAGCTTTTTCTGCATTAAAATTACACGATCCGTGGATATTTATTTTTAATTCCGAAGAAACGATATTCATTGAATTTTGTCAATCAATCAATGGACGAGAAGGTAATGATACTAAAAATACTAATAGTCATGCGAAGCTTACGTGTACGGGTGAGGTGTAAAAGTAGATAATATATACGTGAAAATGTGCAATTGAGAAGTATAAACGAAAAGTATAAAAATGTAAAAACAACGTAGCTAGGAAAAAAGTACTCGAAGCATAATTTTTTTTATTTCACTTAACTCAAATGAAATCCAGGCTAGTAGTACAAGGCAGAAATAGCAGAAAAGAACAGTTACTTCTGTTATCGAAACATAAAGCGCGGTTTTCTTAATGCGTATTATTTTTCAAGCCCGTTCAGGAATATAAAAGGGAATATATCGAGAGATCGCACCATTATTACTTAAAGTTAATCAAGCGTATCACGATCTGAATAAGAAAAACGAGCTATCGGCCGTGATGAATGGGCTATCAGCTTGAACAACCAGACAAAAAACAAAAGAGAAAGACAAAAGAAAGGTGAGGACCAAAGACGTAAGCACCGTCAAATAAGACAGCGAGAAGAAAGCACAACGAGAGAGATAAAATTGGAAAAAAAGGAATTTAATAAAGAAAATATGAGACAGTCTGGGTGACGTGAATAAAACGCGACGTCTGATGCGACGTTCAACTGCAAAGGTACATATATAAATTCTCACTGTGCTACGAAATAATATATCAAGTTCGGATCTTTGTATGTTGCATTTTTTAATAAACACTTCAGAGCGTTTGCGAAAATAAGACCAATAACTATTAGGCTAACATTGCGATAAAATATATTAATTGTACTTGAAAAATTCAAATTAAGCTCTCGTAAAACTGTTTTTAAAACAAAATAAATGTTTCTTAATGCTACATACATTTCTCTATATTGATAGGAAAATAAATGTTTAATTGAAAATCCTAAAAAGAGACATTGTATAAACGGATACTCATTAATTTTAATTGTGTGAACGTCACAATCTTATCACGTAACTTTTTAATTGCTTAAATTATTATCAGACAAATGTGACCATACAATTATAGCACTATCTTCTTTAATAATTTATACATTTAATAAATTATTATCTATGGAAAAAAAAAATTTATTCTCATCGCCCACATGTTTTATTCTCATGCCATTTAGAAATATCAACAAAGCAAAAAAGATAGAAAGAGAGAAAGTAGAAAGAGAAGGAAGAAAAAAGAAAGAGGGGATAGAGAGAGAAAGAGAGAGTCAGTATAATGCATATAGTCAAGGGGTGTATGGTAATCATTGAAGAGAAAAGAGTGGTAACATGGTCAAATGGAGAGTGATTCAATGGTTGAATGGTATGGTATGCGCACCTCTTCCTCTCTCTTAAGCTTCCGCACCTGAGCAAGTGGCCACTATCACCCCTGCGTCCTGCGCCGCCGCTCATCCCGGCCCTGACACTGGACTGCCATGGGCTGTCCTCGTAACGATACGTCTTTGATCTGATTAGGGGTGCGCAACTGCAGGAGAGCTTGTTGCCCATTCTAACTGCTCTTATTCCGGCTTAGATCCCGCCACCTGCCTGCCCCGCCGCCACCACCACCACCACCACCCTTCCTGCGTCACCACCACCCTGCACTCGTGATGCCCGTTCGTGTTTCCGGCTCGACACGCCTTAGCACGTATCCGCCCGTCCTGTCCTCCCCGTTCCTCAAGATATCCGGTCTGATCCTTCTCGCTGCGTCTATATATTTTTCCTCTTTCTCTATCTCTCTCGGTTTCACTTCCTTCGGTTCCTCTTTGACACACTTTCGCGGGGCTGGCTCGTATGGCTTGTTTCTGTCGACTTTTGGCACCGATTTCCACGACGCCGACCACGGTCGGCGGTTTGACGTTGCTTTTTTTGCGCGTTTTGATCCTTTGATCCGTGTGTATTATTGGGAAGCACTGTGTGTAATAGACAATCCCAGAGTTATCAGAGTGGAAGGAGGTATCTTTATTGTCACATCATTGCAAACACCGATAGTCATCAGCTTGTCCCTGGCATGATTGCTGCAAACAGACGCAAATCGATTAGTTGTAAGAAAAATGCATTTCAAATAACTCTATTAATTTGCAAACCATTTACTTCCGCGTACAAGAAAATTATTTGTCAAATATACTTTCGGAATATTATTCTTTTTTTGTTTTTATATGGCATTCATTTATTTATTTTAATAAAATATATATTGTTCGGTTTTTATATTTTATTGTATTTGTAATATTATTTGCATATAGTAAATCAATAATGTATACATATATTGCTCCTCTCTCTCTCACACCTTTTACGTTTATTAAAAATAATGATTAACTAAACTAAAAATTAAATTGTAATATATTCATGAATGCATATAATGATCACAGCGCTTTGTTGTTATTTTAATTATTAATTCATATGCGATATACTTTATAGTTAATTTAAACTATTATTGCATGTTTCATTACATAAAATAATATGTTATAAACAAGTTTTCAAACTAATATAAAATTATACTAATAGATATTATATAATTCATTTTTTAGTTTTAAGTAATTGATGTTATAGTCAGATTGGCAATTATACCTTCTTTCTTACACATAATTCAATTTTTCACTAATTATTTATAAAAATGCATCTTATTATTAAATAATAATATATATAAAATATGCATATTTGAAGTAACAAATAATTTCAATTCTTTTTGTAATCATATATTATACATTTAAGTAGTAGTAACAATTTTGGTCGGACATAAACACAAATTACTTATCGATTAAAAAATTATATCCATAACTAAAGTACTGTGTGTTTCCAAAGAAATAGAATAGTAATTTTTTAAACAATAATTAATACGTTGAGAATGGCGAATAAGAGTCAATCTAAATCTGATAATATATTCTAATATTCTATATTGCGAAAAATATCACTTAATGTTTGGCGTTTCGTCCCGGCTTCCACTACTGGACTCATCAGTAAGGTATTGTAGTGGAAGCCTACCTTAGACGCCGGTGTAAGTTATTAAATCGAGATTCTATATAAAGAGATATACGCGTGTCTCAGCACTTGCGAGAATTTGCGAATATCGATAGACCTCTGATGGCGGGTCGACGTAGTAATATTCTTCGCAATATTTATCCAAAGTG